ATTATTATGTGGTATAAAAATGATTATTATAAGTATCAAAAAATATATTATAATGAAAAGTAATTAATTATTTAAAGAAGAAAGTAACAATGTTGAATGCAATTTCTGTAGAAAGTCTGACAAAGTAAGAAAGTCAAACTGAGTGGCACTTTGTTGAGGTAATGGTGCAGTCCGCTGAATTCTGAACGCGAGGACTTAATTAACCACAACTTCATTGCTACTTATACCGAATTTAAACCATTTTAACTTCACAAAACATTTTACAATTACTCAAGCACACCTTCTAATTGCCACTTTACGTTATAACTGTTCCAAAACTTTTATAATAAAGTAAGGAAACAATCGGTTTATAGAATTTTTACCAAACTTTCGATACAAAAACTAATAGTAATCTGAAATGGAGTAACAGTAAGTTACCTGTTTAATTTTGTAGGTGTTTATTTAAATAAAAAAATGTTAGTTTAAAGTAGCTCAAAATAACATTAAAAAATAACTTATTTTGCTTTGTTCTACAAAAATACACTCAACGCCATCTATAGCTCGAAATTGTTAACCTTTTACTTCCCACAACATTGTCCATAATTTCTTTTATTTTTTAATAAAACATACTTATTAAATCAACAACTGTTCCAATTTAAATCATGATTATGAGTAAAAACTTTTTAAATCTGGCAGTGTTATAATCTCACTGCAGCGAGGATTCACACCGCTTCCGCAATTACGGCCACGCTAATGGTCTGATAGCGATTAATTAACGCCCTTCTCACACATCACTATACTTAATTTCGTCGCTACAAACAGATAGAAGTTTCACATAATTATTATAATAAGTTCACTGAATGTTATTTACATTTAACAAATAAATTCTACTTTGACTCACTGATACATTTGCACATTAAAATTGATATTACGTTAAGATTGAAAAAGTTGTCATTATAATAATAATTTTACTGGTACTGAAAGTTTTCTGAGAAAGCTGTAGCAACGTTCAGTTTGCAACTACTAAGGCCATCTAGTGACTGTTGGCTACACTAGTTAGTTTTAAAAGCTCACGTTCTTTAATTTATTTGAGTAAACGCACAGAAATACATTTGTACACTTTAAGAAATGACATTGTAACCTAAGACGTTTCCTTTAGTATTTAGTGATAATAGCACCAAAGAATTAATTAAAAACTACAGACAACCCCGTTTTCAATTCACTTATTTACGTGCTGAATGATGTATTTGAGTGCAATATATTTGAAATGCAGATTCATGAACGTCAGCTTTGTAACGTTAAAAGGCATCGAATTCGGCGCCTCTTCCGCAATTAACTGGCGAGCTAATGAGTTTGCGTCAGTCGGTGCCACTTTAATTACATAAACCTTTATTTCTTTTCAATACAGTTGTGAAAAAAATCATTATTTGTATACTATACCAATAATACAATTTCGTCGTATTAATGGAATCGCATCCATTCTCCTAATATAGATATTAAGCTTAAAAAACAGTTAATTCCATCTGATTATACAATTACGATACTCCGGGATAAAATACGAACTAAATACACTTCAATAGTCAAAATCGGTTTTCCTATTTAGACTAGTCACAATAATATTTTCTTATGTATATACTAGACTAACAGTGGTAGAGCCCGCTTTAACATCTTCGCACGAATGGGTCGGCTCGACCGCACACAGAAAACAGGCGTGAAGTGGAATTAATTCCGCGTTTCGTCTGATGAGTGTGGTGTCGGAGGCCTAATTTTAGTCCTTTTCCCTTTCCACCCTTTTCTTAAGAGGAAAGGATGCGAAGGAAAAGTGTATTTGACGGTGGAGGAGACGCATAGGAAGAAGAATTGTCCTCTTTCTGTGCGTCTCGTCCTCTGTCAATCAAGGGTAGGCAACGCATCTACAATTGCGGATGTTTATGGGCAGCGGTCGCTTTCCATTTCGGTGGATTCAGGTGGCCTCTTGCTCGTTTGCCACCTTATATTATATAAAAAAAAAATCTGACTTATCAGTAGAGCAACACACATCAAATAACTTAGTAATTAAAACAATAGCAATAAATTAAATGTGTTTATCAAATAAATAAATTATTAATTTCACAAGTAATAAAGCATCTGATATTAGGAGATTAATCTTTTGTCTTCGTCTCGACGTCGCTGACCAGAGAAAAGATGTTCTCTGCGGTACATCGCTTATGTATGTCTATGTAGTTCCTACACGTTACGCCACATTCCTAGATAAAAAATATTATACTATACTAATATAATAAAGAGTAAACACACACTTCTTTGTTGCCTGAGATGTCAACAATCACAGCATATTTTCGAATAAATATTTTTTTTAATAAAAAGCCCTACACTTACGTCACGCTTTAGGCTATAAATTTTCACGCCGTTACTTGGGGGTAAATATTTTGGATAAAAACCCTAATGGGAAGGAGACCATAAGTTGTTGTCAACATCAAGGAAGCAAGGTTGCCATGGTTTGTCATCATGTCATGTCATTTTGACATTTGCAATTGAAAATTTGACAAATGTGAACAATAAAATGATTTTTTATAATTTTATGCGGATGAAGTCGCATGGGAACAGCTAGTTACAGACTAAAAAATTGAATGAGAAAATGCAATTCTTGCGCAGAAATCAAATCTGTAGAAATATTTTAACTGTTAAATAAAAATAATTTACCGGTCCAAAGAACGTCTGCATCCAAGATTGATTCATTACACATAAATTCTTATCCGCGACACAGTTCTTGATAAGCAATTTCGTACTAGTCTATAAAATACACCAGTATAAAGTAAAAAGTAATTTAAGATTTCTCTATATCAAACACCTAACTGCATAAATTCCGCTGGTAAAATACCTTAATCGGGCTGCCTAACCCTTCAAGCCTGTCGCAAGGCAACAGTGGCACTGTGGTCCAACGACAACAAGAGTCAAGATTGTTGCTCAGCTGGAGCGGCATTCGGTCAGCGGGCGCCGGGGCACCTTCCGGCGTGAAACGCACGTAAAGTGGTGCCGCCTAACGGAAATTTATTTATCCATTATATGAATACTAGCTTTCGCCCGCGACTCTGGTCGCGTGGAATTAAGAAAATAAAAGTGATTTAATGTTTGTTAGAGTTTGTAGCCTAAACTGCTTAACATGTATCGATTAAATTTGGCATAGGTGTAGAGCATAATCTGGAAGAACACATAGGCTACTCAATTTTTTTTTTAATTTCACGCGGACAAGGTCGTAGACGAAAGTTAGTAAGACATAAATATAAGAAACGTGATAATAAGACACAAAAATTGCCATAAAATATTGTAATCTCACCTCAGGTTCCCCATAGTTCTCAGCCTTCAGTAAAAACTCATCCCCATAGTTCATCTTCTCGCCTCGTAAAGCTTCACCTTTGGTACTGAAAAAAGTATAAACCAACGTAAATAACCGAGTCTTACCCGCAATCTAAAGTCGCAATAAAATGGTGCCTCTATGTGTCATTTTAAGTAATTACAATAGCATTAAAAAATACCAAGAAAAATATTAAACCTTAGTATAACGAATGTATTGCGGCAACAGGGCGTAGTGATCGGTGACAAAGTCATAAGACATCCATCACTAATGTTCTGCATATAGTCGACTTGTCGCTCTCTCACCAAACTTGATAACGCTAAGCCGTACCGTGGCTTTGAACCTTTCGCTTGCCCTATCACTGTATTTGAAAATTTAAGAAAAAGCTTTATCATCTTTAGTTGTATTTTTAATAACGTTCTAAATTCCTTCAACTGCTCTACAGCATTTAAATAAGATAAAGTGATAGGAAACCTATTGTATGTGAACATCCCTTATCCGTTTATTTTAACAGAAATACACAGGTCAAAAGAATGGAATCTGGTTATTTACAAAAAGTGCCTGTCAATTAAATAATTCCACATCAAAGCTACGCTACCGTCAATATTCTCTAAAGATATATCTTTGTTTGAAGGTTTGTATGTTGGTATTGCTTATATTAAGTACATAAAACCTTTGATATTTAATTACCAGGCATATCCGTTGCAACGACTTGCACATTGAACCCGTAAAGCACGTAGGTTCCGCTAATTGCAAGAGGTCTCTGAAAAATGACATACTTACAAAAATGTACTGAAGGCAAAAAGCTTACATGACTCTATATTTAATCTTTATTCTTAACAGTAAAGAAGAAACGCGATGTTAATTAGTCAATCTTTTTACCAGACAAAGACATTTCGATCCTCATTAACTTATTTAAACTGTAATATAATGTAATATTTACCTCTTTAAGTAAATTGCTAAATAATGTCCTCGATCTTTGCAACAGTAGCTCGTGCCTATCACGTTTTCTAAGAAATAATTTGAATTCATACTGAAATTGAATTTTTGTATATCTTTAATTGATTAAATGTTCCCTTACATAAACTGCTTTTAGCAGGTTGTACCAATGCTTCAATGGTCGTTAAATTAAACAGAACAAACGTTGAACTCCAAAGACGACCTCCGGTTAATCGGTACCGATTGCTTAATGCTGTCTTTGTTGGTGACCCTGTTTTTCTTATACGAAAAGTTTTCTATCTACCGATCACTTAAGTTATGGTTCTGAAAACTGCACTGTTACTCTATTGTAATAAAGGTCATGAATTGTCTGATTCGATTTTACCTCATTTTTAAGTCGTTCTTCGTTCCAATTACCTACCAACACAGAATTGTTATAGGCCATGAGTTTGAATTAGTTTTATTTGAATATAAATTATTTTATATGACTAAAAAGTAGTGAATTTCAAAATAGATTTAAAACGTCGCAGATTTCGAATTCTTGATATCTGAAAATTGCCATAAGTAAATATTTTTAATTGAAAAATAACCATTAAAATGCGACTGTGAAAAAATAAATTAAAGACAATTTAACAATTATCTGCAAAACCAACTCTTTGGTGCAGTGAATATGTCAAGCTGTCAAGTCAATGTCAAATCATAAATTCCCTAGTGGCGGGAAAATAAAACAAGTATTTTATAAAATTTATAGAAATTAAGGAAAAACACTGGATAAAACTTAGCTAATCCTAATCAGTAGTATCACACAGTTGTTGATAAGAGAACTACACATAGTACTACTAAACATCAGACAGAATTCAAAAGACACAGAGAGAGGTTATTGTACTCTGTTTTAGTAATTAGGTCAGTTCAATTCACAACTAACAAAAGTGCGATAAACTCACTTAAAACAATTTAAATTCACGTGTAAGTAATTCGTTTTGCATTGTGTCTCAAAAACAATGTGGGCTACAAATGTGCGGTTTACCATTATTTTTCTTGCGTTCGCAAACATATTCATTTGTAATACTTTAAAGTTGGCATCAATTGACAAAATTTACAAAAAAGGCTTAGATGCTTATGCTAGTGAAAGATGGTCTGAGTGTATAGCGAAATTTGAAGACACATTGCATTTGTATAAATTGCACAGGATAATTCTAATAAACTGCAGACTTAAGTGTGATTCAAACAAATGGAATTCAGAAATCGAAGAAATCGAAGATGTAAGAATTTATGAAAAGTTTTTAAATACAAGACTGTGCATTACTGACTGTCAAATCAAGGGATTTGAGGATGCCCACTTAAATAACATGGTATCTGAATCTGTCATAAATGATATGAATTCCAAAAAGCCTTATGAGTACCTTCATATATGTTATTTCCAAATGAATGCTTTCCCTAAAGCAGCTTCTGCAGCATACACCTATCTGTCTGCCAACCCAAATGATGAGAAAATGAAAAAAAATCTTGAATATTATCTTGATCAACCTGAAGTTGATGCAAATGAAGTTGTAGATTTTGAGAGTGAAGTTTATAAAATATTGTATCATCTTGGAATTAAGGAATACAATTTAAAAAAATGGGCAGAAACAGCTGCTAACATGGAAGAAACATTAACTGATTATTTGTCTTGGGAGAACATGTGTCGAGCTGAATGTCAACATCAATCTGAATTGGAATGGTCTCCTGAATATTCAGTCACTATATCAAATTATATGATGTCTCTTGTCATATGTAAACAAAATTGTCAAAAAAAACTTGAGTCATTAAATTATGATTCAGGAAACAGTTTTCTAGCTGATGTTCTGAATTATTTACAAATTTCATATTACAATCTAGGAAGGATTGAAGATGCAGCTAAAGCTGTAGAAAGTTATTTATTATTGATACCTAACGATGAAGACATGTTATCAAATAAAATGATATACAGTTCTCTAACCGATGAAAACAATTTCAGTGTGAGATCTGATATTACTTACTATTTTAAACGTGATAAATATGAAAGAAACATCTTACACAAACTTTATAATTCTGAAATAGATAATGCTATAATTTCTATGCAAGAATAATGTGCAAGTAAGACAAGGTTCTGTCTTCGATTAAATGATAATCATTAACAAGAACATTCAATTTTGCCAAAGCAACTGACTAATTATTACTATTATATGAAAAAAACTCATGTTTTAATGTACAAGAATATTATAAATATGCTTTTATATTTTTTTAACATTGTACAATTATTTAATAAGTATAACAATTTAAATTGAATTATGTTTAATGTGATATGAAATGTGCCATAAACTTTAAAATGATTCTTAATTTTATACAAATATACTTTATATTGGTTACGTAAGAGATATTTTATTTTGACCCTTTTTTACATAGTACAGATATTTTATAGTTACATGTCTTGACATTATTTGTCTGAGATAATTTTTTTGCATGTATGTGAAGTAACAGTTGACTTTCAAAAAGGAAATTAAAACTACATATGTGTGTAAGGAAATATTAGGACTTAATGTAGTCTTAGTGAGGCAGTAAATTTTTAACCATAATGCCAGCTTCAAGTTAACAGTTGTTGATGACAGACACCACAGCGCCATCTGCTTATCTCTTATTCTCCATCTAGTTCTGAACTATAAAACCATATAAGATTGGTGTCCATTTTATTGCTCCGACTGAATAAAAGCAGTGTCCCTGGAATAAATAGCGGCACGAAGCTCGTTATAACTTTTTGATGCCGATGTATTTCAGTAAGAATGTATATCCAAGAAAATATATATAAAAATGATTTGCTGTTCACGAAACTGTATTCTTTTTTCTTTACTGGCTTTTTAAGGATTTTGAAAGATCTTTGTAAAGTTCACGCCTGATACAAATAAAAAAATCAGTACTTCGGTTAATAAGTCGGAGTGGTTGCAGGCGATCAACCGACAGCTACTAGCCACTGAGATCGAAATAAAAGCCATAATAAATTTCCAATTTGTATAACATTTTTGTCGTACCGAGTTTTTTCCGAAACTGATCTCCATGCTATTTAATTAATTAGTTGTTGGTTCAGTAGGTTATGAACTATCTGTATGAATAATCTTTGACAAATCTTTTTTTGATCTTAATTTTTGTTTCCAGTGCTGGTAACATTTTGATTTTTCTCTTATGGCGATACTAGTTTATTAAATGTTTTTCCTAAGTCCACGAAGAGGGCGCCTACGGTTCGTCTGACATTTTATAGTAAGCTATCGGAAAATTATGAGATTTTATATAAGGGAGAAAAGATATCGAGGTAATATATTTTTATTATCTAATTTTCCAATTGTTCCATTGTATCGAATTTACTATAAAGACAACAAGATTTCGATAAGAAACTAAAACGAGTCTTCATATTACACTATAATCGTGTATAGATTGTTTTTAATTTAATGGGACAATTTACAGTTCCTATCTAATTTATAACATTATACATGCTGTCATCTACAGTAATTTTCATACTTTCATATTTGTTCATAAAATTAGTTTTTTTTTTAATTTCTATCAAAGATTATTTTTCATAATTTATGGTTTTCATTGCAGAATAATGGCTAATGAACACAACAATAAGGCACATATTAAAACATTATTATTTACAAAAGCCATACCTAATTACAAAGTTCCAGTACCACTGTATGGCCACAAATTGTACCGCTGTACTGATTGTGAAGACAGGTATAATGTTAATTTTAAGAAAAAAATATCTAACGTTAATATATGATACCAAACCAAGATTTCAACATAATCTGTCCAGTAGTTTAGAAACTCATAAAGGATAAACATTTATTTTATTTATTAATGATATACATGAAAACATTTCACGGAAAATAGGCTTCAGCTGTGGAGATGCAGATACCGGAAAAACCCCTCCCCCCTACAAGAAAATATTATTTTCACTACTTTTACAATATATAAATATACCTTTTTCAGATACATTGTGGAATCTAGCTACCATTACCATATTAATAGGAAGTCTGTAAAAATTACTTACAAATGTAGACATTGTGGTGTCATAAAAGTTTTTTACAATCGCTGTAATTTGTTAAGCCACATTAGATCGCATGCTTTCAAAACTACAACTATTAACATAGGCGATTTAAATGTAGAACCTTTGCTGGCTTCACCTGAACTTGTTGCAAAACAGAATCAAAGTCAGCAAAAAACAATATTAAGAAATTATATATGCTATGAATGCAAAACTGACCACACCAAGACTGGAATTGCATACAAGGACAGAGTAGCACATTATATGCACTATTCAAATGCTTTGTTATATACATGTCCTATATGTATGTTTACTTTACCAACAACTTGTGCATTAAAAGCTCACTTACGTCTTCATTTAAAACATCCGCCTTTCTTCTGTCCTGAATGTGGTATTACACTGCAAAACAAATGTGTAGAATATCCATATACACACGATTGTGAAGGTTTTAAAATGATGAGAGCAACTGCACGAATAAGGTGCTCGGCAAAGAACTGTCATGTTTTCCATCCAAATGAATATAATGAGCATATGACGTCTCTTCATTTAAAGAAAATGTACAAGTGCCCAGCATGTGCTATGTGTGGTTATAATGAAGATGAGATGCAGCAACATTTGAAGGTCCACAATTACGGACTCCCATGTATCATTTTGTTTGAATGCACAGAATGTAATGGCAAATTACTGGTCGAGAGTCAAATTATGAAACATTTAGCTTTACATGTTAACACTTTTGTGTATCCATGTTGGTCTTGTGGTAAAATATTCAAGTTGCCTTCTAATTTAATAAGTCATCATATGTATAACCACTTAAAAGAAATAAATATATCCCAACAGTTACAAGAAATATATAGAAGCACATACAAAAGCATCTTGTCTATGAAGACTACTGTTTGTAATAATAAGAAGAGTTATATCAATTCCATTGTGTTAAAAGAAAATGAGCATAATATAAAACTTATTAAATGTCACTTGTGTAAAAACATGATGTCCCAATCGTGGGAAAACATAAAAACCCATTACAAAAGATTTCATAAAAATTACAAATGTCTTGATATCAAAGTTGTTCTTGAGAAACTTGATGAAGATTCTTTAAGAGAAAATAAAGAAAAGGAGGAAAACAAAAATGAAATGGTGATTGTAAATAATAAAAAAAATAATGCTAAGGTTCCAAAAAACAAATCTGCAAAACGTAATAAGATTTCAACAAATAATCTTAGTTACTTAGCTTGCAATAAGTGTCATCACCAAAGTAAAGACAAGGAATCATTAGAAATACATTTGAGAGAGCACAAAGAACCCTACATGGCATATCAGTGTTTGGAATGTGGACAAAGTTTTGCAGTAAAGCCATCATTTTCAACACATCTTTTATTGGAACATGGTATATCAGATGCTATGGATTATATCAGTAAGAAACAATGCTACAATGAAAATGCACTTGTTGCAAAACATTGTAGATCTGATAATATTGATAAGAATGAACCATTGAAAGAGCATCAATGTAAAATTTGTAGAGAACAGTTTGATAATGCTGATAATTTAGAAAAACATTTTAGAGTTCATGGAATGGCTTTTCTAATGAAGAATACTAATAAGGGTAATAATACATAAAATTTAACCATTTTCAGTGATTCCTATCTGATTTGGGGAAAGCTTGAGCATTCTGAAGGTCTTTTAGTAGGGTAGAAACTGAAAAAATAAAACACACTACATACAATATTGATGGTGTAATTTTTTTCCAAGTTATATATATTATATATATTATATTATATTTATTATATATATTATATTATAAGATATTTGTCAGAGAATTGTAATTCAGTTAGACTTAAACCCCTAAGTTCACATTTAATAAAATGTAAAGAATCGAATGTACTATTATTCCAATTTATTTTAAAATAAATTTATATCGTAAACTGAATTAAGAAATATGATGTATAGTTTAGTATCTAATAAAATAATATGATAAATGTTAATTCTGTTTTTAATTGTACATAACACCTACTATACACTGAAAAATCTATTTAAAGTAATTTTACAACAATAACTTAGGAGGAACAAAGAATGAACCACTTATTACAATTGCAACCTCAAAATGTACCGAACATTTTGACACGACTTGACGCTACCAGAGCCCGCGAGCGAATGCCCGACTTTCAAAGATGGCGGCCTTAAATAATGTCGGAAATTATGCCACACTTAAAATGTCTATTGTTCCTTATACGGCCTCTCCTGACCGTGCACCGTCCTGTAGCACAGGTTCATCTTCGTTTCTGGGGTCTTCATGAGACACGATCGCAGCGGCAACAGACGCTGTTCCAGCTTCCACGTCGTCCGTAGCAAGTCAGTAGAGGATCGGGCCTCCACTGATTCTGACTCGGAGTCAGTATCTGTCAAATTTATAAACTGATTAAGCGTCGGAAATTGGAAAACAGTCCAAGTTTGCCTATCTTTCATCCCTCTAACATTCAAGGCCCTTCTAGCACCATGAATCAATCTCAGCTAGTTTCCTAACTAACTCGTATATTTATATTTCACACAGCATCATACAAATTTTCAGCCATACACAAAGCTAGCTATATGGTGGGTGACTTCGCGACTGTCAACCACATTTTTCACACGACCCCTGCCGTGTGTTTCCCATACACCGCAAAGCCCCTGTATTTACGATACATCCGACCAGCCTGAGCCACCCAGATATAACACTATAAAGCCCCTGTCTTTAATCGTTCCCAAGAAGACCGAGACTGCACCAGATCACGACAGAGCTCCTGTCTCCGCAAGTTTCTGAAGGGCTTGTGCCCACCCGGACCAAGTCCGTACAACCAGATCACAACAGAGCCCCTGTCTCTAGTTGCGTCTGAAGAGCTGCCACGCGTTCAGGCCGTTCCCGATGCAGTCTGCACCGCGCCCGATGCCTTCTGCACTGCGGCCGAAGTCTGCCAATTCTTTGAATCAGCAACATGCTCTGCACGCAGAAAGATAAACGTTAAATCATTTCATCAAGAGACGCTGCACAGCTCTCAAGACACCATTCACACGTTTGGAATCATAAAAACTATGAAGGAGTTTACGAAGATCTTAAAAGTCTTTCCTGGGATCAATACTACACATTAAAGGACGCTAATACTGCTGCTTCTTATTAAATCAGAGTACTGCAAAAATTGATGAAAGAAAACTCCACGGTTGTTGAACTAGCGATAAAAAAGGAAACCCCTAAAACCTTGGATTACCCCGGGAGTTGTAAAATCTATAAGAAAGAGTGACAATTTACACCAAAAGTTAAAAAAAGTTCCTGACAATGAAGAATAACTTTCCTTATATAAGAGCTATAGGAATGTGTGCAATACTATAATAAAAAAAATTAAACAAGATTATTACCAACAACAGCTTAAAGGAAATTATAAAAATAGCAAAAAGACATGGGAACTCATTAAGGACTATGTAACATGGACAAAGTCCAGAGCTTACCGCAAGATTTATTGAAAATAGAAAATTCACCGATATAATCATTAGACGTTGTAAACTGTTACTTTACAAACATTGGAAAATCTTTGGCAGACGTCACCCTAAATAAACTTCACAAAATAGACCTACAATTATCCAAAAAATCAGAAAATGGAATCTCTTTAAATTCAATGTCTTTTTTTTAACTGACCAAGATGAGATAAGAAACATCAGAAATCTTAAAACCATTAGTTCTCCGGGATGGGATAAAATAACTTCATCGTTTCTTAAAAGCATTGCTAATTTTATGACTGCACCCATAGCTCACCTTATCAATCTCAGTATGGAAATGGGAGAATATCCCTCTCCTTATAAAGAATCAATTGTAGTACCCATCTATAAGTCAGGGGATACCTACTCACCATTTTACTATCGACCTATCCCTCTACTAAGTACCCTTTTCAAAATAACTGAGTAAGTAGTTAACAACCGACTAGTTAACTATCTCGAGAATAAAAATTTACTCTCTACTAATCGGTATGGTTTTAGATCTACAGCCAATGCAGCGCTACTGCTAAAAAACAAAGTAGCTGATTATTTAGACAAAGGTGACAAACGTATCGGTGTATTTTTAGACCTCCAAAAAGCGTTTGATACTGTGTCAGAGCAAGTTCTGATAAACGATTCCAGAATATTGGGATAAGAGGCAAACAGCTGTCATAGTTTAAAGATTATCTGACTAACAGAAAACAAAGCGAGCGAAACTGCTCCCTGCACATACGGAGTTCCGCAGGGAAGTGCAATCGGCCCAACGCTTTTTCTTACCTACACCAACGAACAGTGCAATATGAAGCTTCCAAACGCAGATGTGCTCATGTTTGCCGACGATACTGTGATATTATTTCATGGTAGAACTTGGGATATGGTCAAAACATATGCAGAAAGTGGCCTAACGTTAGTCTCTCATTGGTTAGAAAATAGCTTGCTTACAATAAATGCCACAAAAACTAAGTATCTAGCTTTTCATAATACATACATAACAGTTAACGCCAAACCGACCCAAGATTTTACCATCCCAATGCATCAGGCTCCGTGTAACAGAAGCTACAACAATCCAGTAAATTGTAATTGTCCAAGGAAGTTGCCACCACTGAAATCTTGATCAAAACATACAAAGCCCTATGTCATTGCATTATTGACTACTGCATTTGCTCTTGAGGAGGAGCTTTAGTTTTCAAGCACCTAGATTATACAACTTACTTAACAAAAAACACAACATAAATAAATTAAACTACTTCAAAATGAAACAAATTGCGAAACATTGGCTAGACAATTTAAACTATGGAGACTGTGAAAACCTTATAACGATTAAAGGGTAATAAATATAAAGTCGGTCAATTAAATTAAAATCATATTTAGATTAAAAAAAATGTATTACAAACACTTACTATATAACGATATAACGATAAATAAAAGATGGCGTCCTTTAAATAATGTCGGAAATGATGCCACACTAAAAATGTCTATGATTCCTTATAATACATATAATAAAATAAGAGTGTCTGTAATATCAAAGAAAAATTCCAGATTTCAGGAAGATATTGCGATAACGAAAATCGCATTTAAATTTTTTTTGTCTGTTTCCACAAGGTGCGATTTTCTGGGCAACCTTCAAAACGGCTGGGCCAATTTCGACCGAACTTTCACTGACGTAGAGGGGCATATTATAGGCTACTTTTTATCACGGAAATATTACGGTTCCAGCGGGATACACTGATTTAGTTTTTTTTTTCATATTACATTTATTAATAAAATAGTTGAAAATTATAGAAACGGTATTTTATGTTCGCATTTTTTATCTCAATATTGTGCGGTCGAAGTCGCGGGCAACATCCAGTGCCGGATGAAGCCAGCGTGGGGCCAGTAGAAAATTCCTCCAGATACTGAATTAAATAAAACAATTAGACACATTAGAAACAATTAGTCCAATTAAACATTAGAACATAGATGTTACAAAAATCTTAAAATACCTACAATATTTAGGCTTTAAAGTGACTAAATCGAGTTTTACATTTTCAAGTGGATGTGCTATGCTTTACATAATTAGCATGCAAACCTACTAAGCATTTTTCGATTAAGACATGCAAGATGTATTATGCTCCTGTATAATTTTTTTTTGTTAGTCTGGCATTGGAGCGTGGGGCTGCCAAATTCGCGGGGCCAGTTGCGTTTGCTACTCTTGCTATATGGCTAATTCGGAACACGCTACAGCTAGTTTTAAATAAAAAACTAGGTACAGTATTTTCTTCATTTATTAAAATTGTAATTACATTTATCAAGGTACACTTATGCTTGACATTCAAAATTTTAATGTTACATTATAAAATACTATTTCTGGCACTTTTACCAAGTCTACATCCTAATTATTTTAATGAGACTTAAAATGTACACCTATAAGTGTGGGGTATAAGTAACAGTATAGAGTGACCAGGAATATAAAAACTCTCACCGTGTAGTAGAAAAATATGGAACTATGTAATTCCTTTGTACACATTAGAAAGTGATGTAATAAAGGAGGTAAATGCACCCCAGGCTAGTGTTTTTATATTTTTGGCTTGGCTAATGTATTAAATAATAACCAGTTTTTACAACAATTTTGAAAGCCCACACATTGTAAGCATGCCAGTTCTGTGTTGTACTGATTAATTCATATTATGATGACAATCTTTGAGAATAAATAATAAAATATAATATAATATTCTTAAGATAAGTTAAATTAAAAATGGAATAGTTAAATCTTATCACACACTTAAATATAGGCGATGATATGCAGAAGCTCCTTTAAGTATAATCCTGCAGTTTGGACACCTTTTTTCTACTTGTAAAGATTTTTCAAGACATGCAAGGCAAAAAACATGCCCACATTTGGTTGAAGCCAGCGGGTTGTTTCCGAGTTCATCCCAACAAATTGGACAGCTACCAATTTGATTTGATTTTTTTTTCTTGTTTGCTACACACTTTTCGCTAGTTGAGGGTGTCTAAAAAGAAATAAACTAGTAAATTGGAAAGCATCCTAACTTACTAATTTTATAAGCATATTCATCTTACCGAAGTTGGGGCTGTAGATTTACGTACTCTTGAAGATTTTCTGGTTTTGATAGATTTTTGTGCGCGTACATTGCTTGCTTCAAAAGAGTCATCAGTATCTATTACTATCACTTCGTTAGCTATGTTACAGTGATTAGCTAATGTAAAGGATTTCGTCAAATCGACGACATCGTCGTGGTCAGTCATGTTTTACTGGTCAGTTGGAAAAGTAGTTTTAATAATAGTTAAAAAGCTTATATTTGGTATTGTAGTAGATATTTCATTTAGCAAAAAAATGTGTCGAGTATTAAACTAATTGATTACAAATATACAATAGTTGATTTATGGGTAGTAAATATCCTGACTAAATAGTATTGACTTACAACGTCCTATTTATACGTAAACAAGTAAAACTTTGAAATAATGAATTAGTATTATTGATTACTTTTGTTTTACGTTTACATATACAAATTCAAATGACATAAACAATCATTTATTTTTTTCCTTTACTTGTCAAAGAATAAATATGTTCTTTGATCGTCATTCCACATTCCAGAGTTGCCATTAAAAAAATTACCCTCTCCCGTACTGTCGTATGCCCTAGATATTATGCCCGGTTCACAAGCCTATGTCGCCTATGTGTTCTTCCAGACTATCCTCCAGTCCTATGCCTTTCATCGAGATCCATTCAACTTATTGGTCTAGAAACGCTAATAAACATTCATCCATCTAAACTTACGTATTTATAATATTAGTTGTATTGCATGAGATAAGAATATGTATTAATATGAATATCACTACAAAAGAGGATATAAAATAAGAGTTGGGACATCACTACAGTAGTGTTCTCGTATAATGTTTAAATTACTAATAAGGCTTTTAAAGTTGGAGTATCCTAGCCCTAAATTCAGAACAGTAATAAACCAGATTAGTTTATTTTTTACATTAGTTATTCGTCTCAATGGACACTATCGAATTAAGGGTCAATCTATACTAATATTATAAAGAGGAAAATTTTATATTTTGGTATGTATCGAAATAACTCAAAAACTACTGGGCCGATTACAAAAAATCTTTTACCATTGAAAAGTTATTTTATCAGTGTGTAACATAGGCAATTTTTTTTACAATTTCTTTAATTCCACGAGAGCGAAGTCGCGAACGTTGTTGGTTGTCGGCTAAATAATGCGAAAGCAAAAAAATAAAAATTCACCGTCAAGTCACTGTCAAATGCCAATGACAACGTCAACGCAGTGACGTCAACTCAACTCAAGTCATACTTTTTATTGATAATTGGTATTTTTAATTTTTATCTTGCTCACCGTTTTCTAAACAAGTTTGCGAAGTGTCTAATCATTTGTAAATATAACAATTTAAAGAAATAATACGATAACTAATATTGCTATTCACTACCAAGGTTTATTAGCGAAGTATTAAGTAAGTTTGCTACAAAATTATCATGTAAGTAAAAAAAAATGTATTTTTACTTATTGGGCAGAGATTTATATTATTGTTTTTAGTCATTGAAAGCGACACAAATTTAAATATGTGTTACTTAAAATTTCAGCATGCACCTTGGCGTGAATATATCTAATGCCTTACAACAATTAGAAAGTGTAAAGGCTGCTGTTGATCAAAATGATGATCCGAAACTCAAGGTAAATGAAGTAGAATAATTTAAAATTGCGTGAAATTAAAAATGGGTACCTTTTATATTAAGTTTTAATTATATTTTACAATATACATGTTGGATATTTTTATATGTATAGGCTGCAACAAGCGATGATTTAAATATGCTTATCAATTTGTTGGAGAGTCCAATATTGAGAAGTATAGCGACTTTGCATGACTCAGTTGCAATGTTGGCCACCCAAGTTGCTCACCATCCTTCAATGCTTCCTGGCGATTTTGATATCACTCCTGCTGGTAAGAAAAAAATTAAACACTTATACATAAAATAAAATTGGCTGAGGGTTAGGGGGAAAGGTAGAGAAACTGATAGACAATTGGGGAGGCAACGAAAAGCACTGCTTTCTGCATCTGAGCTGGGAGCACATTGTCCCAGATTCCCGATCACCTCAGATGCATAACTATTTATTTATATTAACAGGTGATTTGGCATTACAAACTAGAAACCTATATGGTTCTCATGAGGGAGAGGAGGAGCAACGTGTTCCGCAGGTTTCACCACCAAATAGTCTGGAGTTTGGATCAAATTCCGACAATGAACGCATGTTAGGACTAGATACAGCATCTGTTGACTCCAGTATGTCTCCAAAGCAGGTACATCATGTAGATGAATAATAATTCATAAACATTATAAAATTATCTATGACATAGTAATAGCAAAGACCTATCCAGTATTCAGATCAGTGCTTTCAATAGGTACTATAATAATAATTTGATAATTATTATCTAGTTTTTTTTTTTAATATTTCAGAATCGTGGCATACTGGATTTGTCACGTAATGATGATTCCTTAGCCTCTGCTTCAACTAACATTGTCGCTGGAGACTGGGCACAGGTTGAAATTATAAACTTAGTGAATGATGGCACCGGACTTGGATTTGGTAAAATGTTTAGCAGATCATTGAAAACACTTATTATTTCTTATAATTAGACATTCCATACTTGTTTTAAAATTGTAGAATTAATTCATTTGTTAATGATTATTCCAGGTATAATTGGTGCTAGGACTCGTGGGGTTATTGTAAAAACAATACTAGCTGGAGGTGTGGCAGACCGTGATGGCCGTCTCAAGTCAGGAGATCACATACTACAGATAGGCGATGTAAGTTTTTTTTACAATAAATCATTGGATTATGTATATGCCAGTAGCTTTTCCTCGCGACTACACCTGTGTGAAATTAAAAAAAATATATCTACAAAATGTAGTCTTTGTTACTCAGTCATAAGGGTGAAAGAATTTTTGTAAATGGCTTAGTATTAAATTTATTTAATTCATATCTTTCTTATTGACCGACTTCTCAAAAGAAGGAGGTACTCAATTCGTCTGTATGTTTTTTTTTTTATATAACTACTGATTAACTAGTTACTTTATGGCTCTTACGTCATACTTTTTTCGGTATCGGTAACTACTGATTGACTGAGGTCCATCATTCATGGCTTAAATGTGAAATTTGATTATAATGGTAGTTTTGTAGTATTTTTAGACCTTCAGACTACTTTATTAAGGCATTAGAAGGTATACTTAGTAAAATTGGTCAGTAGCGGTCAACAACTGGACTGGTAGTTAAATGCATAATGTGACATACCTGTGCTAGAGAGTTCATACAATCCATGCCTGTCCTGAGCTAGAGGCAGGATAATGTCCAGGGTACGTAGAGTGAGACTGTCAGTGACATGTGCAGGTGAGCCTGGTGGAGATGGTGTCGGAGCAGGTGGCGGGCGTGCTGCGCGCGTCGGGCTCCCGCGTGCGTCTTGTGGTCGCGCGCGCCGTCGACCCCGCCGCAGTACAGCCCTCTGTCGCACCCGTCGTGCCCGCCAGGTACAATACTTCAATTATCTATTTCTATCTATCTATACTAATATAATAAAGTTCACACACTTCGTGGCATAGGATATTTGTAATCACAGTATCTTTTTGAATAATACATTCTTGACTACTAACTACAAGCTGCCAACATTAAGAAAGCTAGTTTATTACAGTAATTTTGACTTTTACAATTGAGAATTTAATAAATGTAAACAATAAAACAAAGTGTTTATAATTTTATGCGGATAAAGCCGCACGGGAATAATACTGTAAGAAAACGTAAACACACACTTCTTTGTTGTTAAGGATGTCAATCACAGCATATGAAGACTACACAAGAGAAAAAGACACAAACTCCAAGCCAATATCAGTAAAGAAGCAAGATTGCTATGGTAACAGTAACTGTTAGCCAATAACAAAAGCCTTCATTATTGAAGCATTAGAATTATGACATTTACAAATTAAAATTTTACGGGAAGTACACAATATAATAAATTGTTTATAATATAGTGAGGATGAACTAGCTAACATCTTTCTATATTTTTATTTTCTCAAAAATTATACCATAAAGTTAAAATACCCCTATTTATGTAACTGAAATGTTATTTCCAGGTTACTATCTAACCCTGAAGCATTAGATCGTTATCTTTTGGATACTGGTTTCGAACAAGTATTCAATACACAGCCCTCGCTGCTGTCCCACACCAGCACCGCACCCGCTAGGTTCGTCTTCGGCAGCTCCGTCACTCCGCCGCCGGAAACTGGTAAATTGGAAACAGTAACGTCGTTTATTATATTGATTCTTTTTCTTTTAAGTCATGAAATAATTATAAAACAACTTTCAGATGCTGAATCGCCAGAAGTTGATAGATTCACTGTGCAATTGAAGAAGGACGAAAATGGATTGGGAATTACTATAGCAGGTAGAAACTATTTTATATAAAATATGAGAATAAATAATGTTATTTTGATAAAGATACAAAATTAGTAACATAATAACGGTGACAAATTAAATTATTAGTATAATTAGCTTTTGTCAGTGAGTGTGGCCGCGCTCATTTGAAAAAAAAGTATTCTAGACTGTAATCTATCTGTGTCAAATTTCTATCAAATGTTCGATTTCGATCAGGAGTAGCGGCGCAACACTAGATCATTTACATGCACATCCCTATGAAGTATGACATTCGTAGACAAAGGGCTTGTCCCACCACCGGATGATAGAGGCTCAGATAGTTTAAAAATGACGTCATTGTCAGATAAGGGGAATAAAATCGGATCGGAATCGGATTGGATTGTCAGACAAGTTACAATTTGGTAGGACAGACCCTAAGTGATTAATATGTATTTATTTTCATTTTATTGTATTTATTTATAAGTGTCGAAGTTCTAAAAATGAATATGCAATGTCAGGGTACGTGTGCGAGAAGGAGGAGCTGTCGGGCATCTTCGTGAAGTCTGTGACGGCGGGCAGCGCGGCGGCGCAGAGCGGCGCGGTGCGCGTCAACGACCGCATCGTGGCGGTGGACGGCGCCTCGCTCGCCGGCAAGTCCAACCAGCGCGCCGTCGACGCGCTCAAGCAGAGCGGCAGCCTCGTCACCCTGCAGCTCGAGAGGTATCCTACACGCTAACACATGCCTACCGATCTAAAAAAATATTAAATGACAAAAAAATTCCGTCCTCCCCCTTTTGGGGGGTGGGGGGGAATCTTCCAAATATAGTATTTAAAAGATAAGACAGGGTTATGTGACTTTTACTTAAGAAAACTCTCTCTGTAGCCATCCTTAAGTATGACTGCGAAGGTCAGAGAGAGACATTTTCACGGCTATTACTCACGTCATGTTTTCTGCAGCAGCCCCGACCAGTTTCAGACCCTACGGGGGTCCTTCAGGGCGAGTGTTACTGGGGTTGTTTCATAGTCGCGTCGCGCTTCGCACTCTATATATTAGTTATTTTAATATGAAATTTGTGAATTCTCATTGTACAGATATCTCCGCGGCGAGAAGTTCGAACAGCTGCAGCAGGCAATCGCGGCGGGGGAGACGGCGAGCGCGGCGCCGCACAACCCCTTCCTGCACATGCACCGCCCTGACCCGCGCCTTGCGCCGCACAACGCCCTCGCCCCCCTCGCACACGACCTGCCCATGATGCATCTCCACTCTTCGTGAGTATTACTCCGACTCGAAGGACCATATTACGATTATTCCCAACCGTCACCCGGCTTTGTCCACACGTGTGAATAAAAAGTTTCTCGTCCCGTCCCCCTTTTAACCCGTCCCACCTTTTAGTCCTACTAATAAGGTGACAGAACCGTGTGTTCTTCCAGACTATCCTCTACATCTATACCAAACTTCATCGAAATCCGTTTAGCCGTTTAGACTGCAAAATAAAATCCATGCATTCATCGATCCATCCATCTAAACTTTCGTATTCATAATATTAGTATGATATTTTATATGAGCCAAGTGTATGGAATTTCAATGTAATGATGTGAAAATGATAACAGTTCGGAGCCGAAGGAAGAGGAAGTGGAGGCGGGCGCCGCGCCGCGCACGCCCACGCCGCCGCCCGCCTTCGAGATGCCGCGCACACACGAACAGAAGGAGGCCATACGACGCAAGTGGCAGGCCATTCTAGGTATTTATTATTTCATAAAAAAATACTTTTTAACCCATTACTCTCATGAGGTTTTACCCGCATGACATTATAAAACTGTATTTCATTGTTAAAATTTCATAAAACCGTCAATTGTAAATTTTTAATCCTATGACAACGAAGGCCCTTGACGTTGGCTGAGAATTGTTTTTTTAGTAACTATGTCGACCTTGCTTCTTTGCTGCTATTGGCAGCCTTGTAGTTTTTGTCTCTTTCCTACATGACAATTTTTTCCACTTTATTCACCTTCTAAGTTGAATAGCTTAAAAAATATAGCGCTATCGTGCGTGTAGGGCTTTTAATAAAAAAAGTATTATTAAAAAATGTAATGTGATTGCTGACATCCGACATGACTTAGGGTGTGTTTATATTAGTAGACTTAAAGGTTGGGTACGGTGGTTGTGCGTGTTGCAGGCGATGAGGTGGAGATAGTGGTGGGCGTGGTGGTGCGCGGGGGCGGCGGGCTGGGCATCTCACTGGAGGGCACGGTGGACGTGGAGGGGGGCCGCGAGGTGCGCCCCCACCACTACGTGCGCAGCGTGCTGCCCGAGGGGCCCGTAGGCCGCGCCGCCGTGCACCGCCCCGGGGACGAACTGCTCGGTTGGTTTACATCACTACTAATGGTTAGGGGTTCTGCCGATCTTGCGGTCGACGTTTCCAATCCCGCCACTATTATGAACTATATCCTAGCACAAGCTCAGAGCTCAGTTGAAATGGTTAAAGGAAATATTAGTAAACGAAAAATCTACTAATATTTTGAAGTAAAAAATATCAGTAAAACTCTCTTAATGCGATCTCCCGCGTAATACATTAACACTTAACCCTAAATTTATGGGAGTTTTTTGTAGCAAGAAATAAGTGTAGCTAACAAGTAGATTTTTAAAAAAATAGTTGTTCGTCAGAGGTCACTATCGGATCAAAGATTAAGACGCCTTTTTTGTTCGATCTCTAGAAAATCATCTTAATTGTGTTCTATTGTACATTATATTAATAATCTGTGCTTATATTTTAAAGTAGGATTAAGTTTATTTTGAAGTCGATTAATTGGTGTACAGAGGTGAACGGTCACCGTCTGCTGGGCATGAACCACCTGGAGGTGGTGTCGATCCTGAAGGAGCTGTCGAGCGAGGTGTGCATGGTGTGCGCCCGCCCCCGCGCCGCCCCCGCCGCCCCCGCACCCGCCACCGCCCCCGCACCCGCACCCGCACACCTCGCGCTCGACCTCGCCCCGCCCGCACACACGCTCGTCAAGGTAACACTATTTGGATTACACTCTTACCATATATGCAAATCATACTAATATTATAAATGCGAAAGTTTAGATGAAAAACTGGTTAAACTGCTCAACCGATTTCCATGAAATTTGGTACACATGTAGAGGATAGTCTGGACCTACACATGGGCTACTCAGTTTTGTTTTTTTTTAATACCACGCGGCCGGAGTCGCGGGCGCCCGAATATATAAAACGATAACAAATTACTTTGTAGCGTAGGATGTCTGCAATCACAGCATCTTTTTGAATAATTCTTTCTTTATTAAAAACCCTGCGCTTACACCTCGCTATTAAACATCGAGGGTAAATACATTTGAAAAAAACATTCATGTGATGAAGGGACAAAAACTACAAGTTATCAAGGAAAAGGTTAATATTGTAACGGTAATTGTTATCAAATGTCAAAGGCCTTCTTTGTAATTCGTGCATTTGTAATTGAGAATTTGACAAAAGTTTTTATAATTGAATGCGAATGCAGTCGCACGGGAACAGTCTTATATAAAAATGTATTTGAATGTAATAAGCTGTATGAGCTATGTTGCAGGCGAAGTCCGACGGCAGCCTGGCGGGAGCGGGGGGCGCGGCGGCGGGCGCGGCGGGCGAGGAGGGCGCGCTGGCGGGCGGCAAGGCGCGCTCGCGCAGCCTGGAGCCGCTCACCGGCCTCGCCATGTGGGCCTCCGAGCCGCAGATCATCGGTACACGATAACACCTTTTATCCTCCTTTATACCTTTATTTGATACTTATTTGACGCTACAAAGAGATATATTATAGTAAACACAATTTTTCTCCTGGTACTTTCTCTGAAAGGTAATAAAACAGTTGTCAAGTTTAGCCATAACTATACCTCTATACTTATATTATAAAGAGCAAACATTTGTAATTTTTAGATTTTTTTATATATTTGATTCACGTAAAAACCTTTTAGAAAATTTAGAAATTTAGAACATTAGAAAGGTAGTTTATCTGTGAGTAACATAGGCTATATTTTTTATTGTTTTTTTTTAATTTCACAGATTTTAGACATAACCTTATATAATTTTAACTGGTTAATAAATGTATGATGTTCAGAGCTGGTGAAGGGCGAGCGCGGGCTTGGGTTCTCCATCCTGGACTACCAGGACCCACTGCGGCCTGCCGCCACGCTGGTGGTGATCCGCTCGCTGGTGCCGGGCGGCGTGGCGCAGCAGGATGGCCGCCTTATCCCCGGCGACAGGCTGCTCTTCGTCAACGATCAGGTCGCCACACTCCCACGCTCACCACCCTCTACACACTCACCACGTTCACCATGCTCACCACGTTCACCACGCTCACCACACACAACGCTCAACACGCTCACCACGCACAACACACTCATTACCGCAGACATACTTAAAACTGGTACTTTTTTAGTAGATTAGCTGTTTCCGTGCAGCTTCATCCGCATGTTAAAAATACTTTATACTTTTCTCCCAAGGATTTTTTTCAATCTATCCACTCCCTAATCAACGTAAAAATATACAGCTTATGCTCTGTAATTATAGTTTTAATAAAAAAACAAATATTCATAATAATAAATAGCAAATAAGTTTACATTTTATTATATAAAGCCATTTGTACTACAAACTCTAACATCCATCTATTCATCTAAACTTTCACATTTATAATATTAGTATGATATCATAATATTCATAATCATATGAAACAGTCACATAATTTTTTTATTATATTTTTAGAACTTGGAGGACGCGAGCTTGGAGCAGGCGGTGGCTGCGCTGAAGGGAGCGCCGCGAGGGCTAGTGCGCATCGGCGTGGCCAAGCCGCTGCCCCTGGCCGACGCCCCGCCGCCGCTGCCCGCCTCCGCGCCCCCCGCACCCGCACCCACCCTCACAGACTGAACCCACTAACATATCGATGGGGGGAAAGGCTAAACCCGGTTTTGAACAATTCTGTTGTTTTGGATTCCGAATCTTTATATACTAGCTTTCGCCCGCAACTCCGTCCGCGCGTAAAAAAAAACAAAAGTGAGTAGCTCATTTGTTCTTTTAGAATATCCTCTACATCTATACCAAATTTCATAGATGTACGTTCAGCCGTTTAGGCTACAAACTCTAACAAACATCCATCCATCTAAACTTTCGCATTTATAATATTAGTATGATATGTAAGTCGTGGCTCAATCGTAATAATTTCATGATTCGTGAGTTCGGATACTTCTGCCTCTTCTACGCCTTTATAAATAAACGTATTCTTCATAACAAAGTTTTCATAATTATTTCGTTTCAAAATTTCTCTTATAACTTGCAACGCATCATCGTCTTCTTGTGCTTTCTTTATCCTGGCATGGAATTGGCTGTCAACAAAACGTATATTCTTACTAATTCTTCAACAGGTCGCATCATATCACCAGCTCTAGGTCCTATTGTATAGTCAAAATCGTTCACCTTGAATAATTTGTCTATGTGATCTTGGATTACTGGAAGGTGATATCCCTCTTTCACCATATCTTGGTTTATTCCTAGCCCACAATCCGCGGCTACCAGCAATACATCCTTAAACATCCATTTTCTTTGGATAACCACTCATCAATTTGTTGTTTTACCACCTTCTCTTCTTTTATATCCAATGTTGATCGCTGTGTCATCGGTACGTCATCTTTTAATACTATTTCCTGTTTAATTGGAGCATCTTTTACCTTTATAGGTTTGTACTGATTTACAATACCTTCCACCGCTGTATTACTGTTGTCTCTACTGAAACATACACATATTGCATATTGGTAAGAATCATCATAATATGGCCTTATTTCAATTACACCTTTATCAACAATACCAATTATATTACTCAAAAACGGTTGTTGGCATTAAGCCTGTAGGGACTATCATCACCAGCTCACTATATGTCCCCACCGAGGGGCTCGGAGCCTACCCTAATCAGGGGTAGAAACTATAAAAAATAAATTTTGTAACAATTTTTATCAATAACTAGCTATTCCCGTGCGGATACCGATACTGGCTGAGGCAACCAGGGGAGTGTTCTCAAACCGGAAATTGACGACGAATGGGTCTTCTCAGCGGTAATGGCGCATACTTGTGTCTTTTTAGGATTGAAATCGACAAGATTTTGTCGACCCCAATCCGAGACTTGACCCAAGAGGGTCTCCAGCTCAGACACAAGTTTGTTCCGGTTCTCATCGGCAATGACCCGAGAAACATGGATGACGTAGCGTGTGCCGAATGTCGCTGGTGTTTGCCCCAGGGCGACATCGTCGCGCTCCGCTAAGTGGGGCGGCAATGGCGCGAAGTTGCTAGGCTGATTAAAAAAGGGCGCCGCAGAAGAGAATGCAAGCGGCGAGGGTTCTAGAGCTGTAGGAGCTAAAAAATCTTCCGAATCGGGGAAACCCTCACACCAGTTGTCGACAGTCGACAGGATGATTTGGCTGCCGCGGCTGTAACCGCGAACCTTGCCTCGACTGCCGCTAACTCTGCCTGCATCCTTTCCTTGGACGCATATTTCTTCGCGGCTACTTTTTTACTTATTAACACGGCCTTCTGCTCAATGTCGGCGAGCCGCCTTTGGTACTCAGTCATAATGGCCACCTTTTTTGCGGCTCGCTCAGATGAGGAACGAGAGACGCTAGATGAAGCCGCTGCACAAGAATTAGTAAACATTTTCAAAAATAAAAGAAAGAAAATAAGGAAAAAATAATACGAGGACTTACCACAATTTTAAAACTTCTGACACCAAAGAAAAGGACGAAAAGCAGAAAGGAATTAAAGGAAAATTAATTAAACTAAAAATTTAAAATGAAAATGAAAAGAAAATTTATGTACAAAGGGAAAACTATAAACAAAACAACCTAGCAACCATTATGAGAATTTATTGAAGACTGACAAAATGGTTACAAAAAGAATCATATTTAAAATAATATAGATTCTAATTTTAAAAAACTATAAAAGTAAAAATGTATTAAAGAGGTTAATTGCATCTCCAACAATTATGTATTGTATAGCGACGTAATCTGGGAATTTGGCCCTCTTCCCTCTTCTCTTTCATTATCAACATACATTGATAGTGCGTCTTATTCGGTCGTTTCTTCCTGCCATTCATCATCTCATGGATTTCTTTGCAATTCATCTTTTCTGGGAATTCTTTAAGTAAAGCTGCTTTTAGTTTTTCATATGTGCCGAAAGTTTTCTCCGTCTTCGGCCATAGTACCGTTGAGCCGGACAAGCAACGCCGGGCTATTATTAGTTTTTGTTGTGGATTCTACGCAAAGATCTGTGCATTGTCATCCATATCTTGTGCCCACTTGGTTGAAGTATAAGTCACATCGTCGGCAAATTTTGCTAACGAATCTATTGCAAAAAATGGATTACCAAAGCCCTCAATCATCCTGAAAGGTTCACCTTCGTTTTCGTCTTTTTAAAAAAAATCGTCGTCGTCGTTACTCCTTTTCTATGATTGGTGTCGAAAAACAAACGTCAAAATATAAAATTCAAAAATAATTTAAAAGAAAACGGTGGCGGTTAGAACTAATAGCCTTTCACCCGTAGTATGTGCCCTATACAAAGATATTTAAGAAATATACAGACTAGATATAGAACATTTTTTCACCGGTAACTTCTTTCAAAGGTACTATTCGTTGTCAAGTTTAGTGTCACCTCATGTCCTTATATTGACATGTTATAAGACATTTTACCAAATTATAACTTCCATCTTTTGTTAAAAAATATGTCACGAAATAAAACATTTAAATGTTATTTAATGACATTTATGTTCAAAAACTACTGGGACGATTTTAAAAATTATTTCACCGTTAGAAAGGTAATTTATCTGTGAGTAACATAAGCTCTTTTTTTTTTTTCGTTTCTTTGTGATTAATTTTAAATTTCGCGCGGACGGATTTGCGAGCAAATGCTAGTATTTTATGCGTTGGATTGTTATCTGACAATTTACAAGAATTGTATGACAGGCCCTTGAGCTTGGAGTTTGATTTTTACGTCTTAATTTGGAAGAATGTATGCGATAAGAAGAAGTATATGAGCTGATTGGCAATGACATTCCACATATTTATCCAATTTGTTTATCCAATGTTAAATTATTGACCCCTAAAAATGTAGTGTTCTAGCGTAAAAAAAAGATAATATTAATGTGAATCTTGTGATCCTTGTAGTTATCACTAGAATGTTCAAAAGCAAATTTCAATTAAATATTTAGAGACTTTAATGATCTATTTCCGAATCTATGTTTTCCTAACAATTTGCCAAGTAAGTGTTCAGTGTTCAATTCACCATTCCATATAATTTATTTAATCAGTATTAAAATTATTTATTTTCTTTTGCGTATTACATAGCTGTTATTTAGGGGTTAGGGTACGTACGATTTTGTAGTAGCCACAATGATAAGAAAAAACATTCCTATCTTATAAATCAAAATACCCTGAAAATTGCTATAATTATTCTATTTTGTAATCCAATTTGACTGTAAAATTTATTTAAACCAAAAATGACTGCATCTATTTACTTTGTATAGAAAATGTTTATTGTACTTAAATAATTATAAGAATTAAATGTTTAATTTGATATTTAATATTCGTTTATATTTAAGAAAAAATAAAATGTACTATCCGTGCACAATAACATGGAGCTTGTTGAATAGCTGAGCATGTTATTGTACACGCGTAGTATCAACTAAATGGTGTTTTATTAAATAAAAGTCAAGAAATAGTAACACTATATATATATTAACAAGAATATATTTACATCTGCCCTTAGTTGAATAGAATATTAAACGATCCAGCTCTATCCCCTAGTTGAGCATTGGTAACAACTGAACCCCATTCCCTAACAATAAACTAAAATTAACCTAATCCTTATAAAATTCTTCTATAATGTCCTTGTATTTCTCGTACACCACATTCCTCTTTATTTTAAGTGTTGGGCCTGAAACAGAAAAAAAGTAAAATTAAACTGGTATCAAACGAAATTACGCTTATGAAATTTTTCAATGTACATTCCGGGAATTAGGCGGTGTTGCAGGTTAAAACAGAAGTCATATGAATGTTTTGTGCGGATTGTGACGACGTGGGATAATAGATAGCTTTTTAAATGTATCTGAAAAAAGGTTGATCAGTAACATTTTTATTATTTTCCCAACGTGGAACACTGCGAATTTCCGCGACTGTACTTCGGATCATAAATTAATTATTACCAATATAACAAAGATCCGAGTCGTTTTTATGTGTAAAAGTGACAAAAACGGTCGATCAACATACCCAACTCTCCCGTGTTCATAGAGAAGTCGGCGGGCAGGATGGCAAACTTTTGTACTTTCTGTGCGTTGGATATCGCCTGCTTGTTGGCGCGCGCTATGCCCTCCTCTATCGCTTTGTGCACCTACAAACATATAAATCACAAAAATATGATAAAAACACTTTATGTTACAAAAAAAGTTACCGACATTTCCGGACATGGTGGACCGATTTGGAAGTCTCTTTTTTATCGAAAAGGTAGTGCTTCTATGTGGATCCAATTTATTTTGTTTAATTGTCGGAGTCAAAGACTACGGCGTAGTTAAATAGTTTAACTCAAAATCGCGTGGCGAAAATTGGGGTCTTTTTGCTTTCTTTGTATAAAATAATAGGTATATAAGTTGTAGCACATACTATTTGTTTCGATTGGCTATGAACTCACCGCTGGGTCTTTGTTCTTGACGATCTCACTGATGGTCTTAGCGTTGCTGCCGAGACTCGCCACCCACTTCCTCGCCTCCGTCTCCAGCTCGTCCAGAGGATCGCCGGACTCCGCGTTTATTTTGCTCTACAATTGTTACATATCCTCAAAATATCTTATGACAATGATATAAACGATGAAACTGTTATTATTATAGATAACAGTAACATAAGCTATATTTTAATATTTCACGCAGGCGAGGTCGCGAGCCAATAGCCAGTCTACAATAATATTATATAGAGGAAATATTTATAGTTTTGGTTTTTGTAAGTATTGGAATAACTCAAAAACTAGAGCGATTTTAAATATTCTTGCACCATAAAAAGCTATGTTATCACTTAGTAACATGAGACTATTTTTTACATTTTTATTTTCCTATAACTATTATTTACTCTCTTACTATTGGAATTATAAAAACAAAGAAGAAAAGTTCAGTATGTACCTTCAAGGTGAGCAACACCGAGAGGAACTTGCGCCTGTCGCCGACGAGCACGGCGTAGCCCACCTGCGGCAGCTGCGCCTGGATCGTCTGCTCGATCAGCACCGGCGCCACATTCTCACCCCCAGCGGTTATCAACAGTTCCTACAGAAACACATACTGTACACAGACACGGAAGGATAATATTTAAAAGTGTTACAGTCGCGACCTTCAGAAACGAGGAAACTAAGAGAGACAGAAGGGAGAATGACTGCAGGGCGACAATTCTACCTAAACTAAGAGACTGCTTGAGTAACAAATGATGGAACAGAAAATAAAATACCGTCTTTAGAACAAATAAGTTTATTTTGAATAATCTCACCTTTATCCTGCCGGTGATGTAGAGCAAGTTGTTGCTATCCACTCTGCCGACGTCGCCGGAGTGCACCCAGCCTTCGTCGTCGATGGTGGCGCGCGTCTTCTCCTCGTCCATGAGGTAGCCCATCAGCACGTGTCGGCCGCGCATCATGATCTCGCCCGGCCCGTTCGGACTCATCGCACCACCGAACTTCGTCTCCGTACCAGTTAGTATTTCACCAGATGAATCTAATTTCAGCCTGGAAGATATTGAAAAGACGGTATAAACGCCTGATACTCTTTATCGCGAAGATATCTAAATATTGGTTATAAAGATATTCAAGAAATACACTGCGACATATTCGTCGTAAATTCACAATCAAACATTCGACAATCGCACAACTGTTATGCGATTGTCGATTGTTTTGCAGCCAATTCAACTGTTTATTTGCACAAATAAAAATGTAGCAGTGCGTGAATATACGCTCATAGGAATCATAGCGAGACAAAACAGTTGTGCGATAGTTTAGTCAAAGGTTGTGCTCTTAGTTTACACCTTTACGTAAATATAGTAACAAAGACTATCAAACTGAGTACATTACCCTTTATAAGAACTTACTTGGGATAAATACTAAGCGTGTGGGCGCCGGCCGTCTCGCTCATGCCGAAAGCATCCACGATCGGTATATCGAGTGAGAGGAAGAACTTCTTGATATCAGCCGAGAGCGGCGCGGCGGCCGTCACGAACGTCTCGCACTGGTCGAGGCCGAGCTGGTCGCGGACCTTGCTGAACACTAGCGTGCGTGCGATCCGGTACCCGCACCCCATTCCCTCCATCCTATACATATTATAACTATGAAATACCGCCGTAATTAAAAGGACTGTCGCATCTACTTGTCCTAGAGAATAGGATGCAACATGAATCAATGCGAAATCCACACTACATTTTGACCACAAATATAAAAGCCCGCGCTATATGAGATAATATATTGAACTAGTTTCTTGGCGTAAATAAGAAAATGGTGTTATAAAGAAGCTGACTAAAGTGCCTACGGAACAGGGTTACTAACAGACGATGTTAATTTTTTACTTAATTTAAAAATATTCTAGGATTCGCAGTGTATTGAAAACACTTACGAGTATGATTCTAAAAAGAGTATGTTAAGTTTTCTATTGTTGTAGCTAATTTATTTTATTTTATTCTTCGGTATAAAAATTTAAAACTATATTTTTAAAACAAATGGCACGTAAATTTAAGTGTGACTATTAACTAATTTGTTGCCGTCTAACGATCGTTTGTTTAATCTTAAGAGCAGGACCCTCGCGATACAGGCTGCGCCTAGTTCGAGGGTACTGATCATAATATAAAAAAAAATCTACTGTATCCATAAACTGTATTTTACTACTCCGTGTATACATGATTGTTGGATTTAAATAAATCATTTTTTCATTTTAATTTTCATTTCAATCATCGGTAAAACCCTAAAGTAAATGTTCCCATATTTATGATTATAATTGTTGGTTTAATATTCGTATCGTATAAAATCACATGCAAATGGTTTTGTATAAAGTATAAAAACAATACTAACAGATTAACGCAAAATTAACTAGATAACATTCTTTACGTATTGCATTTAAACTAAATATACAAGGCGACTGATAACAGACATCATGCGTTTTTTTTATCGAATCAAATGATTAGCTTCTTGATAACTTGCAAACTAACTAGATTAATAGAAAAGGGTATTAGGTAGTATAAAGTACATGTTGCATTACCATCCTATAGTGAATTACAAAATGTAATATAATTTAAAAAAAAAAAAAACTACTTCAAATAAGGTCACGTTAATAGTAGGAGCCCATAGACCTATCATAGAGCCCATAGAGTAACTGAAATGTCAAACTGTTTAAAAATAAACCATGCACAATTTTTTTTTTAAATTCAAACATAATAGATTAGTCAGAGGTATTAATCATAGAATTAAGATAACAGATTGACAATATTCTATTACTAATAAATCAAAACCAATGAGTAAGATAAATTTTTCCTTGTTCGTAATCAATTCTCTAAGAAAATCATAATTAATTATGATAAATATATAATGACTGCAGTTTTGTATAACAGAGTACAAAGTTTAAGAAATGTTACATAATTTTTATTCGTCTTTTGTTAACAAGGTTAACCACAAGCAAAAATAATACAATTTTTAAAACATTAAAAAAAGCCACTGAGTGAATTTGAAATTCAACCGGACTTTTTTTGATAACTAAAAAAAATAAAAAAAATAGTTTCTTGCTGATTAGTTAATGCAAATGTCTACGTTTCTAGGAACATAATCACATTCTGATTGAACATGCAAGCAAGAAAATTAATTGAAATTCATTTAAGTAATAAAAAATAAAAATAAATCTATATCATGCAGGGTTGCCATCTACAATAAAAAATACATTAAGATTGCACTGCATTGCTCTGCACTAGGTGATAGCCCTTATTCATGCAGCCCAATTATCTGGCAAGACTCCTTGCTGTACATACCAATACCGTAACATTTGCATGGCCGTGAAGTCAAGCGGTAGACCTCTCATCCCAGCAGAGAACGAACTAGTTACAGATAATGCTATTACTTGTTTATACAAAAACTAAACTTTTCGCCCAGACTCCGTCCGCGTGGATTTAAAAAAATCTAAGTAGCCTATGTTTTTCCAGACAATCCTCTACATCTGTGTTTCATCGAGACACGTTTAGCAGTTTAGGCTACAAACTCAAACATACATACATTCATCCGTCCATCTAAAGTAAGAAAGCAATACTCCAAAGTTAACAGTACATTTATAGTTCGAATATACATTTCGATGATTGTTTAATTTACATAAAATATTTTAATAACTACTAAACAATTTATAATCAGTGAGAATTTAATTATTTAAACTTTCGTAAAACGTTTTATAACTAATTGTTTTAGTTTTTTGTTTCAGTTTTTTTTTTTTCAGTTCAACAGTGAGAACTTTAAACAACTAAATTAAGCAACCGTGTTAGAAATATACAATTTTCGTCACAAAAAAGATTTAATAGGTGACATCTCAATTCGAGAATTAATCTGTTATTTTTTGTGTCTGTTATATTTTTCTTACCCGTTCATTCTGGCTTCGTGGTGTTTCATGCTCCTGTCTTTAGCCCACAGAGCGATGCTCCGTTTGATAGTTCCACTGGACGCGCCCACGGCCATTATTTTCTCGTACATCTTCTCCCACACGCGCGGCACAGCCAAGAACCTAACAAAATTCATCATTAATGTCAATTGCATAAAAAACACACAACTACTCTTTGGTACTCTTACTCGTTACTCTTTGGTAACTCTGGATAAGTTCGTTATTTTCAATTTCCTTCTAACTAAGCATGCACAATTTTTATCTGTTTGAAAACAAAGTTACATAAGTTAGATAAATTTTAAATTTACATTGACACACGTCGTTTGTAATAATTATTTATTTAATGATAACTGTAATATAATTCAATATGCAGTCTGTACCTCGTTGGTCGAACTTCCTTTAATGTCTCGACTAGAGTGCCTTTTAGCGCGTCAGGCTGCGCGAAGTACACGGGTACTGCGTTCATTAAAGTTGTGTAGATATCCACCACCTAGAAAACACGAGACAAACTCTTTTAGCTTTACAAATAATGTTACATTCAGGATTAAACTGAGTATAAGCAAATATTAGTACAAATTTTGCTTATACTCAGTTTATTCTTAAATTGAACTTTGCATCGCGTTTATTTATAAGGCTATTATTTTTCTAGCAATTCTAGTAAAAAGGGAATTCCATGTACGATATCGAGTTAAAAAATCATAGTATTATAATTTACGTCAAAGGAAATATTAAAAGATATTGCACTTCTGAAATTAGATAAGATATATTGATTCTATCATTTGCATTAATTGCTGAGATTACTGTTACTGCATACTCTACAATTTGTGTTCGCATGATATCGTGAAACATTGTTAATTTTCACAACAATAGCGTTGCAAGCTACAAGTTAATTTAATTGAAGTCGGTTATACAAAATAGCCATCTACAGCTGTAATCACTTCCTGAACAGGAAAATGCAATGTAAGACATGCAATATCCAGCAATTGTTTATTTTACACTAGACTTTATTAACTTGTATTGTCTGAGTCATCTAATTAACTACTTTACTTTTAAACTTCAATCAATCAAGACTCAGAATTCCGAATCACAGTTATTTTCCATTTTACGCAGCATTTTTGCTTCTAAGATTTCTAGTCTAAACTTTTTATTTCGGGTTGTACAGAATTATTAAAAAAATCTAACTAAAAAGTTATCGCAAATATAACGGTTTATCGCATGCTACGTTATTACTTCCCACGCACGAACATACGATTTTCTCACTCATGTCCATATTGATTTTTTGCAATGGCTTGATGGGACGTGAAACACATGTTCATAATTATTCTAGTCAAGTCAGGGTTATTTCATCGATGCAATAGTAATTCTATTAATATTTTAATCTCGCCTAATTTAGGTTGCCTAATCAACTGTCATTACTCATTTTAAACAACGATACGACGCGCCGGGGAAGAACACAAATCTCAATCTTCAATCAGTTAATTTAATCCGCTTAGAATTGCAATTATACAAACGTACATATACATGCAACATTTTAAGATAGTTTAGAGGCCAATGAGAGGGCTAGAGCTTAGTAAATTAGCATACACACCTGTGCGGCGACGTGACTGAGCGGCAGGAAGGAGACGAGGCGGTCGTACGTCGGCGCCAGGTCGCCCACGCGCTCCGTTATAGAGAACGCGTCCCATGTCAGGTTGTCGTGGGACAGCATCACTGCCTTCGGCGGACCCACTGTCCCCGACTGCAATACATTGCAATACATCATCCAGTGTACATCATACAGGATGTTCTAATTCGTATTAACCACGGCGACTGTTTGCACAAGAAAGATAGAATAGAAAGATGCACAGGGTGTGAGATAAAGAAAAGAATTTTGACGAGTAATTTTTTCATCTTAGCGGATTGGCTACTTCATATTATATTACAGCCTTACAAATAAACGCGATATAAAGTTAAACTTAGAAATAAATGAGTATAAGCAAATCATACTGATATTACAAAAGATTGTAAATGTAAAAGTTTAGATCGATGGATAGATGGATGGATGTCTGTCAGAGTTTGTAGCCTAAACGGCTGAACAGATTTCGATGAAATTTGGCATAGATGTAGAGCATAGTCTGGAAGAACACATAGGCTACTATTTTACTACCACGTGAACGGTGTCGCGGGCGAAAGCTAGTATTAGTATAAATTTGAGAACAAATTTTGCTTATAATCATTATGTTGCTGTTTATTCCTAAGTTTATCTTTATACTTTATACAGGCTGTTACTCTACCATATAAATGACATTTTAATGGAATTATTAACACAAGTCATATATAAAACATGTAACATAAAACCAATAATATATGCGTTATTTTGCACATCAAACAATAATTGCATGACATTCGAATAACCTTCAGACTTTGCTGACGCTACTATCTTACTGTTGGTATGAAATTAATTTTTTCATTAGTACATATTGCATTAGAATATTCATTTTCGCGTACTTTTATTAGAAAAACATTGTCCTCGATCAATATTTTTATTTCCTCTTCCTATCTTATCTCGGCGCCAATCCTTTGATAGATGTATTATCAATATAATTTATAACAATAAAATCCTAAGTAATAAAAAGTATTTGTATCCGTGTGGGATATACTAGTTTGATAGATAGATATTGGCTTTGTAAAAAAATATTCTAACAAGAACATAATAAAACTGTCAAGAGGCGAAGAAAACATTTCACTTAAACATTTCAAAACAAATTTTAATAGATATTGTAACCGCTATTGTTTCACGAAGATAAAAAAGTACAGATTCAGGAGTGTGCCAATAAAGTCAATACTATATTAAATTATTATAAATGCGAAAGTTTAGATGGATGGACAGATGTTTGTTAGAGTTTGTAGCCTAAACGGCTGAATGGATTTCGATAAAATTTGGTATAGATGTAGAGGATAGTCTGGACGAACACATAGGTTACTCACTTTTGTTTTTTTTTTTATTTCACGAAGATTATTAAAATAAAATAAAAATTGTGTATAAAACAATAACTTACAGTGTACACTAGAGTGCAGCATTCGTTAACAGCCATACCTTTAAGGATGCTGTTAAGTTGAGTATCAGGTTCTTTTGCGCCCATTTCCATTACTTGTTCCCACTGTAATATAAAATTACATACATTTACAATGCAGTGAGACAATACAATATCATTTAAAATGTGTAAGGACGTTAATCTTGAATATTAATGAATTATTTATGTCTGATGAATTAATGATTTTTTGCATGGCATCATTTACGTTTGTTTCCGCATTAATGAACGCGAGCAAAGTACGATTATCGGAAAATACGTCGCACCATCGTTCACGAGCTCGCCGATCTAATTATGGAATGTCCGACATGTTGCAGATGTTAATTCACATTTCAAATACCTTACTCACTTGTGCCGTATACTGCAGATCAATGACCATATGCTTCTCGTAACAATATAACGATAATTAGACAAAAGTAATTTTAAAACACTATGACATAATTTAATATCTGCTTCTAATCAATCTAATACTTAAAGTTAAAGTTCCAGCTACGTACAAATTTATTAAACGACGGTGTTCTGTACGAAAAGTTTCATATAGAACAAATCTTACAAAGTCATTTAACCTGGGTTTCTGAAGTTTCTACTTTTTTTGTCATTATCTACTGATTCGTTAGTGTTAGGTTGGCCTAAGTTTCAACAGGGTAAAACTCGACTTACCTAGTTCGGAAACGCATTTCATGAATTTATCGAAACACTAACGAATGGTTAAATGTAGCTGGGAAACCGACCATTAATAGCATAATCGTAGGCCTAAGCATTTGTCGCGTTTTCAAACTTTCACTGCATCAACAATCTACACCTATAATAGAGGTAATAGACATAATTTACGTTTCTCTACTCACGCTATAAACTCCCGGCACGGAGGTATCAACAGGTCCCTCCCATTGTACGATAGCTTTCAAATGCTTCAATCGACTGCGAACTGACAATATCTTCTCCAATTGCTTCTTGTCCTGCACAGCGCAAATGTTGGCGCGAGACGTCTCCAAGCAGTGGTAGCACGCGTCCGCGGAGTTCGTCGTGTAGATACCCGCCGCGTAACCTCTATAACATTACAAACATATTAAGATCAATAGCGATTTAATTATTTTGTCAAAGACATAAAGTACCAATGAAAAGGGAACAGATATTTTGTAGATAGTTTAACTGTTAACAACATAAGTAAAGAAAATTTATGAAGCCAATTAATTGTACCGAAGACAAATAATTAGGGGAAAATAAGAGAATAATTATAAAAAATAGTTATTCTAAAGTGAAATTCGTCAATATTTACCCAGCATGAATAGCGGCTAAATCGGCAATATACCATTGTTCTGAATTAAATCCTAGAATGCCCACAGAGTGGTATCGCTCCAGACCCAACTTTAGGAAACCCTTAGCCACCGTGCGTACACGTTCTTGATACTGTCTGAAAAAAACACATCACATTAATTTTAATGTTTTACCTTGAGTTGAAAAATAAATTTTTCTCAATGAAATAAAAGAAAAAATGTAATAAAAAGATCATGTTAATTATTCAACCTTAATCTTTATTGGCTTACCTGTAAGAAATTTTATGCCATTGTCCGTTCTTCTTGGTGGCCAGTGCTGTAGACTCTGGGTACCTCGCGGCCGTCCTGCTCAGCAGGCCCGGCACTGACACTGGGGGCTCTGACGCGACCCCGCGGGATTGCATCCGCAGTTTGACATATCCGCCCGGCACGCAACTTATGTAATCGTCCGCGGGTATTATTTGGTTCGGTCCTACGTCACACAAGGTACCCAATATTAATTCTATTGTCAACTTAACTGTAATGATACTATGTATAAAATAATGAATTCTAGTAAAAAACTATGAAAAAGTCCCGCAAGACTAATTTGATAATCGGATGTTCAGGTATAGTGTTGAGATATTATTTATTTATGTTATTGTTCAGGTATAATAATCTTCTATCATCGTTCAATAACCATATTATTTTTCTTTTCGAATACATCACTATTTAACTAATAATATGCCTTATCCAAACTATCAAATGAAGCAATAAATTACCTCTTATTTTATAACTGTAAATTATTACTGCATTTATTAAGTGATGTAACGTCTTAATAATGTGACTACCTAATGCATAACAATAAAATTTAAAAAGTTTCTATAAACATGATTGTTCTCTGGAATTCCACACAATCTATGTTTAGGGCATGTATAAACTATTTGACACATTGTTTCACAACTACTACATAGTATATTCAAAACTTCCGCGAAATTTACATAAACACGCGTATACCTAACTTATAAAGATAAAAAAATATTTAGAAATACAATAAGCACAATGTCTCATAAAGATACAGTAAAAAAATAAAATTATAATGAATATGGTAAATGATAATACGTAACAGTTTAAACTTTACATCGGTGCCTTGGTAATCATAATTATATAATAACATTATGGTTTAAAGTACAGAGTGCAATATAGAAAGAGATATACTCTAGAGCGGACGTTACGATTTTTCTTAAATATTTCAGACTCAACTTCTTTCCATCACTGAATAGTCAAAAGGATGTTTCAGCGTGTAAATTGTACCGGTAGTAAATCTCGACTCGTAATGTCCTGTCTATCGATACATGCATGTTATATGTCATTGACTAAATATAGGGTAGTTGCGTCGATACGAATTTGCCATTCTGTTATCGTTAACCAGCTTCTAGGACAAGTATGTTTTATGATGATCACAGAAGGTAGAGTATAATTAATTTGGACAAAATAATGTGTTAACTTCTGTGTTGATCCCAATAAGGGTTGAAATATAGTGGTAAATTTGAATGTTCTTATTAAAAATGCTTACCGTTTAAATACGTTTTGTTTGTTCCATTTGGCATCTGCATATTGTGTACTTTCACTATCTCCTCGCCGTTTTCCACGATAACTGTCGACGTTTCCTAAAAACAAATATATATGCGTTACTAATCTTAATTCAGATGTTGATAATGTTTAATATATGTTTGTTAAAATAAAACAACAGATAATATCGAATAAATATTATGTTAATCAGTTTTCAACAGCAATAAAATAATTTGACGCATTAAAAAGTTTATAAATTTATCGACGTTGTGACAAAACTGTAAGTACAAGATATTAATATTGTTTTTATTCAAGACTATTCTCGGGTTTAGATTTCCTTAGTAAATTAACATTATATGTTACTTCTGAATAGCGTTAGATAGTGAAAACAAAATGTCTATGCCATTTGGGTATAATGAACTCTGAGAAATGCCTGCCACTACTTTCTAATTTAGTCTCATTTATTTCTTTTAATGTAAGGTCACAAACGAGCTAGTGACTACCGGAATTCGCCAAAATAGCGAAGTAACCGCTACCCGTAGACATCCGTATTTGCAGATGCATTGTAGATGTTAAAAATTAAGATCGGTTACATAATAATGAACAAAGAAATTACGAGTATACTCATTCGCATGCGGTCGTGTGTTCCAAAAAAAAATCGTTCTGGTGTGTGTATCACTGGTACATCAAAAAACGTATTACTTAATTTTTTTTAAAGCTAATATGAATAGAAGAATTTTACAACTTCAAAATAAAGAGAATACTACAATGGAACAATACTGAGTTCTTTTAAGTAAATCTATGACGTAATCCATTTAAATTTTTTGCAGAATAAATTAAGATACATCTCATTGTTTCCTAATAAATTGACATTTCATAAGACCTCAGGTTATTGTATATTTATGTGTTATTTTACACTCAAATATCAACCTCGTAAACATACATTAACAAACTAATTAATTTGCTATCTAATCTTGCAGTTTTTAAAACTAAAACCTCAATAACTACCACTAACTATACTATAACGAAATATTTCCATCATAGACAAACTGGTAAATGGTAAAGTATTTTGCATATACCTAGATATCATTTTCAATATGAGACTTTTCTGCCTGGTTTACATTATTCCAGCGACTGATTCAGTACTGGACTGGAATAACGTAAGCTTGTTTTTATACTGAGATGTTTTGAACCGGCAGACAATTTCGACACTACTGTTTAGTAAGTCTACAATGATATTTAAATCATCTGATAATATATCACAGAGTATAATCACTAACATATCCATTGTTCGTAGTCCCAGAGCCAGATAGCTTGTTTTTGTTACTTAAGTAAAGTACAGGAGTTAAATCAAAACCTTTATTACTGATTCTTATATTTATAGAATCTTTGTTGCAGTTCTTTCTGTTGTCTAAGTGACAGCACAGATTAATGTAACTCCTTGCCATTTCTATATTAAACAGATTAAAAAAGAATCTCAATTTAAATAAAATTCTGTTTCTATGTTTAGCGTATTAAAATCTTAGATGGCGCTTCAATCGGCTTCTTTATTTCATTAGTTTCCAATGTGTGCAATTCGACTCCATATTTTATCGCAATATGAGTAAGAAGAGTGTGATGTTTCTGGTCAGACTATACAAATATATCCGTAATTGTATATTTAGTCTGTATAATTATATACGTAATAGATAAAATATTATCTTGTTGACACACACACTGTGCATAATGCTGAGATCACATATCAGTTATTAAAAGCAATATTCCATTAACATTCCGTCTAAAACAGTATTTATATTGAACTATTGAATAACTAGCTTTCGCCCGCGACTCGAATTTTAAAAAAAGAAAAGTAAGTAGCCTATTTGTTCTTCTAGACTATGTTCTACAACTATTTCGTCGAGATCCGTTCAGCCGTTTAGGCTACAAATTCTAACAATCCATCAAAACTTTCACATTTATAATCAGTAATTCCGTCTAAACAGTGTTTATATTGAATTATTAAAGTATAACCGTGAGTTTCCATTGGCAAAACACGGCACAAAACCATCGTCGTTACAATTCGTTTCTAAAAAAAATAGAGTTAGCAATATGTTTTCTTACAAGTGTTACTACAGTGTAAATTTACGGTAAAACATATAAATATATTTCGTAATCTTACTATGTAGTTGTGTACATGCTTAAAATGGGATCTAAATAAGACCCTTTATTCTTCTTAGTTCGTTCGTTCGTTCGTTCGTTCGTTCGTCGTTATTCTTCGTAGTTCGTTAGTTCGTTCGTTTATCCATTAATACGCTGTTTCAAATTAAAACAAAACAAAAGGATTTACCTCGTTTACAATCGTCCATCATTGTTTACATCAACTTAACTCCTTGAAAATACTTGATTCCGCTAAGTAATTTGTTATTACTAACCAAATGATAATATCTACAAAATGAAGCGTAAAAAAATGTTTTTATATCGATACAATACATTTACGATCGATTCGCTCGCAGTCGACTGCATTCTACTCGTAGGAGTTTTCACACTTACGTCATTACAACGATAACTAGAAAATATTCGGATACCGATAAACATGTGTTTTCGACTACTGGGAGTGAACTTATTGACTAAGAAATATACAGCAGTCAGATACAAACAGCGGGCAGATTATGATCCATAGAAAATTAATGATTTCTTCGTCTATCGGGTCGGCACAGTATGTGCTGCTCTTTCACACATCTCTATCAGCCGTCATATCTGAAACCACTCCTTTCTTAAGCATATCCTATTTCACACAATCCATTCTTTCTTCGGTCTTCCTCTTTCTTTGTAGCTATCCACATTCATTCTTCACACTTTCTGGTTTATGTCCCCATCATCTCGTCGCATAACATGTCCATTTCTTCGTCTATTACTAGCAAGTTATATAGGTACATTTAGATCTGGAAATTTATTTTAAGGTTAAAGATAACGTAATACGTTATAATTTAAAGGTATAACGGAGACTTTTAGGATTATGTGATAAGTCTTAATCTAGTTAACATATCAATATCGCCTTGGTAACTATTAGGATTGTGTGAGTTTTAAATAATCACCAACATCATAAATAGCTTTTGCCCGCGTCTTCTTTCGTTCGGAATTTAAAAAAAAAATAAACAACCCCTGCGCTCTTCCAGACAGTGGCCTACTTCAAGTGTGTAAATTACATGGAATGCCTTTACGATTGGCTCACATTTCTCGTTACCATGGCAATATTTGCTGCTTGGCTTGTAGTTCATGTCTCGTCTCGAGAGAAGTCTCGCGTGTCATTTTTTAAATTTTCTCTTCACCTGAATAGCCTATAGCGAGTCGTAAGTGTATGGTTATTTAAATTAATAAAAAAAATGTTAAAAACATGCTAGGTTTGCTGACATAATACATAACAAAGAAGTATGTGTTTACGTTATATTAGTATAGAAGTATAGATTATGGGTGAGGTAAGATAACGATACGCAAATAGCTTCAGTCTACACGAAAATTTTATAAAATTGTTAATATTAGTTGTATTAAATACAATAACCTATGTTTAATGCACATAAAAAACTATGAACATATAGATGAAAAAGTTGGAAACTTATGAAAAGTGTACAAAACAAAACACTAACTGTAATACGTAAGGCTATGTTTAAAAATAAATAAAAAATAATGCCTTACAATGATAAAAAGATACAATGTTATTTTGGCGGGCAGCCATCGAACTATAGAGTATAAATATTGCAAATTGCGTAGTAGAGTGACACTGAACAAAGAAAGTGCCAATGAAATGTTAACATTATACTCGTTTAATGAAAAATAAAACTAGTATACGTCGTGACAGATAAAATATATAAATAAAAATCCATACACGGAACTGTATAGATAATCGGGCAGTTATTAATAATAGTTTGTAGAAAAATATTATAGTTTCATAATAATTTAATAATGTATAACATGTTATTATTTGCAACATCATTCTGCTTCGCGTGTCTGTAACAAATTATGTCTATTTATAAAAAGTACATCGATTCTCCACTCGTATGAAAACATCAACACCACTTTATCTTTTAATATGTCAAATATTATCCTGTATGTTGAATAATAAATGAAATTATTATCTATAGTATTAACATCTTTTAATTTTAATAAGAAACAAGATTACTTGCAGATTTCACATATCACTATTCTAGATGTCATTAATTTAACAGTAACAGGCCGAATTCGGCCTGACGCGGTATTTAAGGTGGTACGGACGAAAAAAACTATGTCTCTTTCGCAAGTGCGAAACGATTATCTTAGGTGTATACATTACATAAAATATACACATTGTGTTTCTACAAAGTTATAGCAATTTAATCTATCCTAGTGCTGGTGGGTCTTGAAAGACCTGCCACGCACTGGCGGAAACATCATTGGGGGCGCAAATTGGCCCGCCGCCGCACCAGATGAAGAATTATGATTTTACTTGCCACAGTAAACTTGTTAATTTAAGAAAGAAATAGTGATAGTGATAATTTAATTACTTCCAACTTCAATTAAAAATCACGCTAATAGTTATCAACTTATTTATAGAGGTATATGAGGTTATTAATATATGAGGTTATCTTTAAAAATGAAAATATAGATAAAACTTTTTACTATAAATATTTACATAATGTAACCTTTAGCTTCACGAAGACAGTTGTGTTCGTGTAATGTTTTTTTTTTTGTTACATGAAATATATTTCATTTGTCCTCTGAATCCAAATAACCTTTACTTTGGCGAATTAACGAATTAAAAAAACTTATTACTAAGAATACTAAGTAATGTTTTCACGAGGAAATGAGATTTCAATTAATTAGATAACATTGAAGACGTAATCGAATTTGGTGAAACACAGATTTTTTATTTTGGCTTTTTAGCAAGATTTTTAAATTTTATGTCTATAGTATTTCATCATTATCCTTCTAATCCTACTCCCGTAGGGTCGGCACAAAAGGTTTTTGCCCTTAGAAAAACTCTATCATACGTCATCTCAGTCATCACTCCCTTTTTGATCATGTCACCTCTACCGGTGTACCTACACACTCATAACTAACGTTCTCCTTGTAACTTGTCTATAGTATTAAGATAAAGTAATAATTACTGGATTCTTTTAAAACTGGTATAAAAATCAAGGTTAAAGATATTTTTATAATCAAACCAGTTTCATTCTAACAACAAATATTCTGTGTACTTTTGTAAATTTCGAATCAGAATCACGGAAAGGCGTTCGCAGTGTAAGCTTTTAAATGTCTAAGGAGTAGAGGAATATTGAATGACTAGCTGTCGCCCACGACTCCGTCCGTGTAGATTTAACAAAAAAACAATAGTCAATAGCCAATGTTTTCTTCTAGACTATCTATCTATTTACATCTATTGCAATTTCATCGAAATCCTTTAAGCGGTTTAAGCTACAAATTCTATCAAACATCCATCCATCCATTTATACACCTAAACTTTCGCATTTAAATATTACTAAGAAACAAGATAGTAAGATTAATAAATAGCAATAACATAAGCAAATGTTAGTACAAATTTTGATTGTACTTATTTTAAATGAACGAATGTATTTTCGTACTAATATTTTATTACTTTTAACTCTTACATACGTACTAAAAGTAACACGGGTATATAAATCAATAAAAACAAACAGGAAAATACACATTACGTTTAAAATAAGATATCTTTTTATGTTACTATGTTAAATTATTGGACTTTGGACTTAAATCAGATCAGAGAATTACTGTATAAACTTACGAAATCATACCAATACATAAAAATCTATTTTCATTAGTCATTTTCCCCTTGAAAATGATAAAACTGATAACTCTTACTGTTATCTTATCAGCGACTACAGTTAGCCCGGCGGGGATCACACCAGTAATGAATTCGTTTAATCTACCGGATTTCGAGGTTATACTTTTAATCTAATAAAACTAATTTATTCCTATTTCTGTTACGTGATTAATGTTGTTATTTTTTGGATCAATCTGTCTTCAATTGATTAAAAAAAAACACTTAATATGCAAGACACAAGGTTTTTCGCTCGATAAAAAAATGCGTATAAAACATTTGCATACAACCTTCTGTAAGGTTATCAGTTATCATAAAACGTTCAACTTGTGTGTAAACGTCATTTAAAAAGCAATTTCTTAAGCAATTTTAAACTTCTGTGTTTATTCGCATGTGTGTAAGTATATTTGTTTATATGTCAAACAAAATTATGAAAAGGGGGTCGAGTAACGGGCTCTTGTAACGGGTATAGAGGCAGCAATACGTCTTTCCTTCAACTCCAGGCACACAACACACATTTAAAGTTATAAAAAATCTGGTAAATTCATTGATCACAAAACCATAAACAAGTCTGTTGAGTAAGTAAATAGACATCCTTGACTACAAATATAACTATTGATTAATGTATAGTTATAATATTTAAAGTTTTGTAGGCCATTGAGCATTATTTTGGTATTAATAAATGATTCGGTCACAGCAAATTTTCCTTAAAGATGAATTAAATAACATCTATTATTTCCATTAATATCTCACCGTTATAAATATATTTTGTTTTCTAAATAAAACAGGGATTGGCACTATTGTAAATAATCAAAGTTGTACTATAGCACTTCGAAACACTTTTGCTTAGTTAAAATATTTCAGTTCATGTTATCGCGAGGAAAACGTTCGATTTATAGCGACCGCGGCGGCGCGTGTTTGGTAGCCAACTGGCGGTTTGCCCTATCGCGCCACACCACGGTGTAAAGTTCAATGACTAAAGATGTTTGGCTGACGTTTATGCTATTTACCTTCCTTCATTTGCCACACTATTTTAGCTGAGTAACAGATAAAATCCCTAGGAATATTCCCAATATTTAACTGGATGGTCACTCAACATACCGTGGTGGGAGTCGTGTCTGCCATGGCGTGACGTCCCGCGCGCTCGCTTGCGTGATAGTCTGCCGTGCCGTGCTCGTGCGTCCCGCCGCTGTTGTCGCGCTGCGCACACGTCCGTGTCAACGCAATGCGCTTCGTCGAATTGCGCTTTTTCCCTGAACTAAGCTCTGATAAAAAATCGCCACGGCTTTACCTAATCAGCAGTAGGTAATAAACTGAGCTACAATTAAAATTACCCAATTAATCTTCGACCTATCTTAATCTTTCCACTTTTGTTACTTTTCACCTCCAAACTAAACTAAACTTTTAGGCACTTTTAATCCTGCTTTTGAGCCCAGAACTCAGAAACAAGTTAACAAGGGTACCTAATACGGATATTGCCAGATGATTTATTTTAGGTCTAGGGGAAGCAGCGTTATTTTGGTCTAAGTTAATATTTAAATTTTTAGTTTTTGGAGGCTCTGGCGAGGCTCTTGGTGCAATTTGGTGGCCCAAACAAAAGTTGTGATTCGGTTCAAAATTACACACAAAACACTGCGTTAAGCAAGTTCTGATATTCCACATATAATAAATTCTATTTAGTAACAGGTACCTATCTTTAATTTGATGACTCATTGCAACGATTGATCAAACATTTTTTTTTATAGAGTCGCAGTAACTGAATTCATCTTCACTTAACACAGCTTGTTTTCTGTTTTATTATAACTGGATTTAGCTTAACTTAAAGTAAACCAAAAGATTTGATATCTACATCCATTGTGGATTATTTGATAATGTTTTCTTTAAGCTCCAGAAGGGGTCTAAATTCTGATATACTATCAAACTGACTGCGCTAAAATACGATAACACTAATATCACGTCTTTGAAGATTTAAATACTAATTAATTACTTTTCCGTCGTTCTTATAATGTAAGTAAATTTTTGCAACATAAATTAGATTCTAGTCTATTAAAATGATTATCAAAAGGTAGGTTTAGTTAGAAGTTTCCCCTTTCCCTTTCAACCTTTTTAAGAGGAAAGGAGGGAGGGAAAAGTGTATTTGACGATGAAGGAGATGCATAGAAAGGAAATATCCTATTTATGTGCGTCTTCTCTTCCATCGATTAAGGTAGAAAACCCTTCTGCGGATGACTATGGACAGGGGTCTCCATATAATATAAAAAAGTATACCTTCTAACAAATATGAGTTCGCATATTCAAATCCTCCATTCCACTACACTTACGTAAACTATTATATAAACGTACCAGATTTTCTGAAATGCTTGATGAAACGGTTTAAAAATATTTTTAACCACATTATTTCAATTCATCCCTTGGCGCAATCTCAAAGGCGTGGACATTGTATCATGTAATGTAGAGTGAACCTAGTCATATTAAAGCCTTTTATACTAATATATCTTCGTAGTGGAAGTTGTGATTGGGGAAATAGGCATTTCTTTTATTTGAAAAGAATGTGATAAATCGCAATATTGTACAGAGGACAACAATGGAGACGCGTCGTAAATATATACGTAGCATATCAGTTTGTGGATTTTAGCGGTGATTGGCAATGACCACTTCTGAAGGTTATCAGGTGCAATATATACAAAAAAAGATAACAATAATCTAGATAAATACGCATTTTTGAAGAATGGTAATTCCGAAAAAAATAATACAGCAGTGAGCACACAAAATTGTATCTACGATTAAGTGACTTACCATATGATTTATACATATGCTTTATCTAAAACAATCTTCGTCATACTAATATTATAAATGCAAAAGTTTTGATGGATAGGTGGATGTTTGCTAGAGTTTGTAGCCTAAAGGCATAGAGGTCGAAAGCTACTTTATAATAAAACAATGTCTTATTTCCTTTATTAAAAAAGGCTTATTTTATTTGCTTAAATGAGTATATGTAATGTTATATGTAAGTTATATAAATCTAAAATTTCAATAACAATTTAGAACAATAACAGACTACAAGCAAAAAAGTTATAAAAAAATGCATTAACTTGAGGCTAAAATACAATACTATTAAACAGAGATTCATATTGTAATACTGTGATTGGCTTAAACATCCCATTAATGGGCCATGAAATCTTAAAAAAAGTACTGAGATTGTAATACTGAGATTATAATACACTGTTTTGTCAAGAAACATTTTACTTCAGTCTTTTTTCCATATCAATGTCTTGTTATTTGAAGGCATTTCTACTGTATCTATCAAAGAAAGATTATTATCCTCTCCTATTCTAACTAAATCATTAATATCTCTTAGACCCCAAAGTGGATCTCTTTGTTTGAGAGAAATATCAAAGTCAATATTGCTCTGAGGTGTTATGACTCCATCCTTACTATAAGGTCCATAGGTTATCATAAGAGCTTCCGATTTCAAATATTTCCCAGCATTTTCAAATAAACCTACACTACATTCATAAGGAGTTATGTGCATCATATTGGCATTGTACATGTAATCAATACTATTTTCTTCAAATCCGTAGAATGACAAATTGTTTCTTATGTCAAGCAATATTGGCTGTAAAATGTTCTTTGTTGGACAGTTTGTAGCATATATTGATATACTTCCAAATAAATCTTCATCAACTTCACTAGGTTGAAATTTAACACCTGGAAAATGTGGGGCAAAATGTGCCAAATGCTGCCCAGATCCTGAGGATATCTCAACAAAAGTGGGGCACTCATCATTTATAATCTCTGAATCACTTATTATAAACCTTTTTAAAACCTGCAATATAGGTTCTTGATTCCTGGTTGCTGCTGGATATATTAATTTTTCTCCTTTATAGCTGTAAGAGCACAAATAATATATATAAAAAAAAACATTCAATGAACGCTCGCTCAGACCGTAATTTCAATCTTTTAATAGGTCATTGACCTGAAGTTTTGTCTCAAGAAATTTTGTTTTTGTAATATTTTTTAATGATTACATAATATATATGCATTTTAAATTATGAAACACATTTTTAACTTACCTTTCATGAGACCCGTAAAATATATCATTTGATTTCGACATAGGCCTGCTTATTAGTCCGTAGCAGGTTTTTATGTTTTGATATAAGCGAATTTGAGCTTTTATGAACTGAAAATAAAGTATGTACAATTTAGTTAACTACAGTATAAAGCGTTTTACTATTTAAAAAAATAAGAGAAGTATTGCATATAAAGTTCATTTATAATTTCATAATTTCTTTTATTTACGATGAAAAACTTGCCTTCATTCAAACTTTCAAATTGACATTTGTAAGTCTGACAGTTGACATTACGAAATACCATCGTCCTTTTTTCTTTTTATAAATATTTATGGTAACGTGTCGTGCCTGACGTATGGCAACTTTTGTGACTTAGTGCATGGCAATAAAACTGTAGTTGTCATTGAAAATCGATTTGATTCTCGTCTTTTTGTTTGGGATTATTGTACCTATTTAATGTATTATTATTGTATTACAATTTGTAATTGGCATTGAATGCAATTTTTGAAAAATGGTGAAATGTTGTTAAATATCAAAATGCTATAGGGAATCATATACTGGTTGTTGAATATCTTTTTATAGGTATTTTTTTTATTCTCTACCTTTGTACGGTAAAAGAGGTAAAAATTAGCGTCAAATTGTTTATATACTTTATAATATACCCTCGTAGTAGATTATAATACCTTTTCAATGGAATTCTCAAATTACAGAAAATGTGTAAAATTTGTTTGGAAGTCTTACCTCCATCCAAAAAATTACAAAAAACTTTATTGTTTGTTGTTTTAATTTCTAATCCAAAGATTTTAATTCTGTTCGGCTCACTCCAGCATTAAAGTTTGGTGCTGTATTATATGTATGGTTTATCTTGCATTTTTCCAAAAATATTACAGAGTTAATAAATTGCTAAACCACAAAGCAAAAAAAAAAACAAATAAAATGTAACTAAAAACATAGAATTTTTAATGAAAGGTATGAAAAATAAATATATATGAATTTGAAATTTGATGTTACAGATTGGAGACAGTTTGCAGAATAAATATGCGATACAATTAAATATGGAGTCACCAATTCTTGAGGCAAACAGTACAGCAGTACTTTCACACACTCAACAACAACAAAATAGTCCAAGCCCAACCTGTTCAAGACCAACTAGCCCAAATGCAAGCAGTCCAAGCACAACAGTACCAATGCCAACATGTCCAAGCACAACAGGACCAATTCCAACATGTCCAAGCACAACAGGACCAATGCCAACATGTCCAAGCACAACAGGACCAATGCCAACATGTCCAATCACAACAGGACCAATGCCAACATGTCCAAGCACAACAGGACCAACGCCAACATGTCCAAGCACAACAGAACCAATGCCAACATGTCCAATCACAACAGGACCAATGCCAACATGTCCAAGCACAACAGGACCAATGCCAACATGTCCAAGCACAACAGGTCCAATGCCAACATGTCCAAGCACAACAGGACCAATACCAACATGTCCAAGCACAACAGGACCAATGCCAACATGTCCAAACATGAAAGAAGCAGCAGTACAAACAATAGATGATGCTGACGAAGTTTTAAACGAAAAGTTAAGGGAAAAAATAAAACTATTATCTAAAAAGTTAAAAAAACGGGAAAATCGGATAAAGAAGCAGCGTAGTGCTCTAAGATTGCTTAAAGATGCGATTATAATAATACCTCATGAAGTATAATAATTGTAAGATAATATGAGATGAAGTATTATAAAACTATAACTAATTTTTTTGTCAATAAAAGCAAAAAGTCTTGCAACAAATGAAGTATAAAAAAAACAATAAGCTTGTCCCGGGACAGCATTAACTTAAGAATATATTTAATTTGGGTCACAAGATTACCACCATGTGGCATATGAAATCAACTACTATAGTCTGTCTAAATAAGATAGATTAGTTTGATAAATGATTCATATGAAGCATCGAATTCGAGTTTTTTATGAAGTATTGAAATTATCGAATTTTAGCAAACAATTATGAACTATCAATATTCGGTTTATATAAAATTTATCGAACTTAACTAAGATTATTATTTTAATTTAGAGGACTTTAAGAGGAACTAGGAGAATTTCGCTATGACAAAAATAATAGCGAAATCCAGTTTGATTATGTACTGCTGTAGTAGTAATAAATATTTGTTTACTCTCATTATTTGTAATGGTTCTGCAGGTCATTATTAATTTGAGAAAACAGTGTTTTTTTTTTTAATTCATGAGTTATAACTATGAATCTATTGATTCCAACTTCTGTAAGAATAAAAATTTAAAATCGATAAGATTCATGCCTGATCCCTACTAAATTGTCACATGAATTGTCAAACTAATCTTATTTAGAATAGCTTTAACCAACATCTCAAAAAGCTCTCGCTAGACAGTTGCATGCAAGGGCCCAATCGAATTTTTAGAAACCCCACGCAACAAGGATGTCCCTGTCTCCAGTATTTTTTTTATCATGTATAATATGTAATGTGTTAATAAAAAAATGTTTATATTACATGTTACATCTTACATAGTATTAGAAAATAAAAATATAAGTGGCATTTAATTTAATCTTTAAAAATAGATAATAAATATTATTAGACCAAAACTTTGTTTATTGTATCCTACTCTACTCCTTTATTAAATTACTTCGTCCATGTAGAGTTTAAAAGTTCAAAACTTATGTTTGCCCCTTCTTCTAATCTATTACCTAAGTTATAAACTTGGAAGTTAACAAACAGAAATCTACTGATGCCAGATCCCAAATTTCTATGACGGGTAATAACTTAATATAGGATAATTTTATTCTACATTAAATTCTCCTGACAGCAAACGCATTTATTTGGATAAGGATTAATATTGAAACCAATAAAAGAGCGCCGCAAATAGCGTGCGGTTATTAAATCATTTTATAAACAAAAAAGTGGTTATTGTAAGAAAACTGTTAAAGACATATATATGCTATTGCGGAATTTTCTGTAAAACTTTTTGAGATCTACAATTTTTTCGAACATCATATTTATATATGTCTAATGGTTTAGGCATCTAACGTATATTAATTGAACTAGTAATTATTATATTAGTTATTCGTAAATCTGCCATCTGTTACTCCTTGTTGGCATAATTAACAAATATAATACTACCTCAAAAAAAATTAATCTGTTTCCTTTTATCAAAATAGATTTAAGGTGCTCCGTTATATTGCAATATTTTATTTTCGGGTTTCCAAGTTAAATGTACGGAGATTGTGCAGCATGAAGATGTATCACCACGATGAAAACATTTATACAGAATGTTACAAAGTACTCTGTGCATTTATATCACCTTCTCGTTGAAAGTGACACATTTTGTCATCTCTAAATGTTATATTAATAATGCCATTGCCATGGCAACGCATTTACGTTTATTTTTGTAAAGAAATTGATGTTGCCATTATAAGAAATTAAGTCAAGCAACTAGCAACATGGTCTGGTTTCTGGGTTTTAAAACCTGTTACAATTTTCTTGTCTTGTCACGTTTTAACACTTAATAAGTAAGATGAGAGTTTTAAAGACTATAACACTCAACACATAACTACAAAAAATAAAATTACAGGATATTTTAAAATGTCAAATTGATTAACACATAAACGAAACACATTCCTTTCTTCGGCCATATTTTTCTCATACGTCGTGTGGCAAACGTCAACAATTGATATTAAAACACTCACTTCTAGAAAATAATAATCAAATTCTAATTCTACACAAAAATATTTTTGAGTTTTGTTTGTGTGATATATTTTAGATGTTAAAATGAATCGTTCCGAAGGATTGGTGCAACGAAGAAATGTTCTAAAGGATAACAATTCCGATGGAACAGTAAAAGAGAACCATGACGATGATAAGAAAAACGATAAAAATTATGATGATGGCGACTCAAAGGAAACTCGTTTAACATTGATGGAAGAAGTTTTACTATTGGGATTAAAGGATAAAGAGGTAAAGATTTAAGTGCATAAAAATAATCTATCCGTCTCTGTATAACAATTGCTATACGTAAAATTTTGCATTGTTTTAGGGTTACACATCATTTTGGAATGATTGCATATCTAGTGGTTTAAGAGGATGTATACTAATTGAACTTGGACTACGAGGCCGCGTGGAATTAGAAAGAGCTGGGATGAGAAGAAAGGGATTGTTATCTAGAAAAGTTATAGTGAAATCAGGTATTTTTATTTGTGTGTCATAAATCTATTCGTGTTAATTCGATTTCAATTAAATAGTTTTGTGCATTATGCATAGGTGTATTTATCATGTAATTAATTTTAAAGTCAAGTATCAAAATAAATAATTAAGTATTTGTTCATATAGTAAAACTTAATTTGCCTTTTAAATGTGTTTGTCTTGTGTAAGAGGTTGCAAGATGTTTCCTTGATATTTAAAATATTGAATAACAATATATTTCAGATATCACTTCTGTGAATTTCTATTTTTAGAGCTGGGTTATTACCAAAGATAAGAGAATTACTGAATTTGCTTATTATACATAGAAATGCTTTGTTAATAAAGAAGGTAACTAAGAATTGGATTGAATAACAAGTACCAATATTCATTGGCAATACATTAAGCTGTAAATTAAATTTTAATCTACTGTCTGGGTTATAATAATGACGTAAACTAAGGGTTTAATCAAATGGTGTTCTCTGGATACTTTTTCGTGTTTATTATATTTTATACCAATACTACTTTTAGTCAAATCTGCTAAATGTTTTAATAGTCAACCTCAACCTATTCATTATATTTGTATAGTTATGTATATCTTTCCATATTTCAGATTCACCAACTGGTGATGTTTTATTAGATGAAGCATTGAAACATATGAAAGAGACAGATCCACCAGAAACTGTACAGAGCTGGATTGAGTACTTGAGTGGTAAGTCATTTCCAATATTGTCGCTACAACTACTATGTCTATATTTTCCATTCATAAGCTTTTTATAGGACAACAAACTATTTAATTGTATAAAGCTGCATATTTAAAAGCAAAAATTAAAATTCTTTTAAAATTTTTTATACTACTCCTATTAGGTGTCAACAGTGGTAGTGCCCGCTTTAACATCTTAGCACGAATGGGCCGGCACGCCCGGTGTAATACCACGACCACACAGAATACAGGCGTGAAATGGAACCAATGCCGTGTTTCGTCTGATGAGTGTGGTGCCGGAGGCCTAATTTAAGTCCCTTTCTCCTTACCACCCTTTTCTTATGAGAGGATGGGAAGGGGAAGTGGATTTGACGATGGAGGAGATGCATAGGAAGAGGAAATATCCTCTTTATGTGCGTCTACTCCTCCATCGGATTAGGGTAGGCGACGCATCTGCAATTGCAGATGTCTATGGGCAGTGGTCGCTTCGCCATTTTGGCGAATTCAGGCGGCCGCTTGCTCGTTTGCCATCTTATGTTATAAAAAAAAAAAAAAAGGTCTGCACAGGACTTTGTACTCCACATAACTATCATATGTCATCTCAGTCATCTCTCCCTTCTTGATCATGTCACCTTTCACACAATCCATCCATCTCTTTCTAGGTCTACCTTTCCATACTCATAACTAACATTCTTCCTGTTACATGCATGATTCATCCTTCCGAAATTAAAAAATATTTTATTATGTATTCGAATTTTCGAATTTTGAGCAATGCGTACCAGTAATAAAAATTATTTTAACAGGCGAGACTTGGAATCCAATGAAGCTGAAATATCAACTGAAGAATGTTCGGGAGAGGCTAGCAAAGAATCTGGTGGAGAAAGGTGTTCTTACTACAGAGAAACAAAATTTCCTACTCTTTGATATGACAACACATCCTTTGACAGACAATGTTGTCAAATGCCGATTAGTTAAAAAGGTTTGTGTTTTTTGAAAATGTAAAATTTATCATAACAGTATTGTACAATTTTCATACATCTTTGACAATTTTTTTTCGTAAATTAACTGTGTTTTTTTTAGTCTGTCTTAAACTAAAGTTTCCAGACTAAATCAATTTAGTCTGGAAACATTAGTTTTTTGACTTTGTCAATTTCAATGTAATTGATACTAACATCAGAACCAAGAACTAATCTGATGAAGTTTACAAATGTGATAACAACTAACAAGTAAATGTAATTAATTTGTAAATAAGATATCTGTTAGTATACATGTAGCTACTTTGATAACATTTATGTATGTGAATGTTTTATCAATATTAACTATAAAGGAAGTAAAATAATTTAGTTTTGTTAAGTACTCATCTATGTTAATGGTGGAGGAGTCTAAGGCTTGATTGTAACATTTGTATGTTAGGTGCAAGAGGCAGCTCTGCGGCGTTCACTGAGCGAGGTGGCGCATGCGGACAAGCGTTCGTTGGCCCTTCTGATGTTAGCACACTCTGCGGATGTGCTGGAAAACGCATTCGCGCCGCTATCCGACGAGGACTATGAGCTGGCGACACGCAGAGTCCGAGCTCTCCTCGACTTGGACTTCGAAGCGGAGGCGATGCGACCCGACGCCTGTGAGATCATGTGGGCAGTATTTGGTGCATTCACCAAATAGCAGTTGCAGCGTTTCTTCCGATCTTAGGTATGATTAGACATTAATGTGTGTTTCCTTTAGTCGCGGTGACTCGATTCGACAAATGTGGTATATATCAAATCATGCCAGTATTAAACATTCAATATATGTATATATTTTTAATTGGATAAACATGTGTAATGTGATTTTGTGATGTTAATCTCACGTTTGGTACTATTTACGTTGATTATTCACCACATTAAGATGTAGTGCAAGTTAAACTGGCACAAAGATATATGTAGTTAAATTGATAGATGTAACTGTTAGATATAAATGCTATGTATATGTGTCCCTTTTGTTATCTATCATGCATATATTTCTAGAAGTTTCTTATGCCAGTAGAAGTTAAAATAAATTTTATTTGTAACAAAATTTGTTCCTTAATGATCAAATCTATGTGTTAATATTACTATAAAATATATAATCATGTTCTTGTAAAATACCCAGAGATACAGTTTGTATTATCGGGAGTAATGTTTGTGGTAATATAATTGCTGTAAAAAGGCTTATGATTCATTGGAAGTATTTAGTTGATTAAAAACCCTTATAAATAATGAATTGACATAAGACAACTGTTTTCATAGAATTGATTGATTTTTTTTAATTCCGCTAGTTCTTAGAGCATTATTTCAATTTAGGTATCAGCTTTTATCAATTTTTTTTACAGCTTTTTATCAACTTAATTTTGAAAAAACAATAATTTTTAATTTAGCTTGTTTACCTACCAGATAATATAGGGCTTAAAAAATTAACTTCTTTGAAAACATTTTGTATCTTTTTTTGTAATTGCCTTTTAAGCTACCAACTTATCTAAATTTCCTATTCCTATTATTTTAATTACATGTAATATGTAGTATTCTAAGTTTGTAGTAATTTCATTTACATTAAACTAATTTGATAAACGCTACATTAAAATTTGGATCTTTTTAATTTGTCAGTTATATTGTTTCAAATAGTTGTCATGTACTCAAGATTGTAACTATTCGGAAAATGTCACTGAATCCAATTATTCTTCCAACTTAAATAGCTAAAAAAACATTGTTCTATAAGTCTTGAAAAAATAACCGAGATGTTAAATGTCAGTTATTTGCTATGAAATATTATCTTACATTTCCCAAATGGTTAACTAGCAAAACAGATTTTTTTAACTATAGTTTTAATCTTTTTAGTATTACATTGCATTAAATTACATACATGTTTGAGAATATCCCGTGAAAGTTGTTAATCAATAATATGTTCTGAAATCTTTTCTTCATTAAAATTTATCACCCAAGTGAATTTTGGCTAATATAATTTAAATTGAACAACATGTACTTTTAAATGTACTGTATATTGAAAGAAACAATTATTCTGTGACGCTATTTTATGTTTTTTAAACTGCATTTTATTACAAATTTTGTCATTTAGTATTTAATGTTTTTAGGACGATTGTATGTTATTCCATTTAAATTTTAATTTATCTTACCAATATTTTATTTGTAGTTGGTTTTAAAATTGTGTGTTATGCAAATGTTTTTGACGCAATCATTTGTCTGTTTGAAAATATACTATAAGATAGATATAAATATTTACAGAGTAGTCAATGTGACTATTCTACATGTAAACAATATTGCTTTTTTAAATAAGTAAGAAATAAGCAATGTATATGGCTTCAAGATATTAATATATACATGGCTATTTTTTAATTACCAGAATAAATATACTCTAATAACTATTGCCGATAGTTATCATATACTAGCTGTTCCCGTGTGACTTCATACGCATAAAATTATGAAAATTTTATTATATTGTTTACATGTGTCAAATTTGCAATTACAAATGTCAAAATAACATGACATGATGATAACCTTGCTTCCTTGATTTTACCCAAAATATTTACCCCCTAAGTTTAATGGTGTTAAAATATATAGCCTAAAACGCGACGCAAGTGTACGGCTTTTTAATAAAAAAAGAATCATTCAAAAATATGCTGTAATTACTGACATCTTAGGCAACAAAGAAGAGTGTGTTTACGCTTTATTATAAAAGTATAGATAGATTAAACAAAAGTATACAAATTAATATCGAAAAATGCTAATCGTTGTTAAAAATACTAAGTATTCCCTATTGTTTCTTTTGTCTGGTAATTAGAGAATAACCTTGTAAACTGCTGATTTTCCTTAGGTGTTAAATTTAAAAGAAATTGTTGCTAAACCTGGAAAGTTTACAGGATGAACTTGTACAAAATTTTGTTATTAATCGTGTGTCCATATTGTATATAACATATTAAACAAAAATTTGTGCTAAATGTTAGTTTTGTAATATTTAAATATATTCAGTTTTTTAAAGTTTTCCATTTGACATGAAAATTAGTACGATTGTTTGAAATATTACATTATAATTCTGATCTTAAATTAATTAAGTGTATACTATAAGTTAATTTAGTTAAATTATGGATCCCGGTAACTATTGTGAAGGATGGCGTAATATGATTTTTTTTCATAAATACCTGTCTAATAATTACAAGTGTCGGTTTGAAATCAATATATTTTAAATTGTATTCAACTATTTAATTACGAATTCAGCTCCTATACATTTTCGAAACTCAAACTTAGGGATAGTTTGTCGTGGATTACATAAATAATATAGGATTAGCATAAAACACAATGATTTTCCATTTATAACTAAATTATGATTAAGTTTTGTAAATAAAAATAGCAAATCATGTTGAGTTTTTCACGATTATCAAAAAATTATCACATTATGTTGTAATGTTTTTTTATAAACATATCTTGATTTTACAGCTGATATACACGAACGATGGAAATTTTGAGTAAACAAACGTGTAAAAACATGTATTATACACAAACATTAATATTGAAATTAATCTAAATATATTTAAACTCTAGTGTTGGACGGTGTTTTTATTTGAGAAAATGTGTAACATTCGATGTTGATTTTTCCCTTTTTATCTGCAAAGTTAGGGGGTTTTGAAAAAATCACGATACAAGGTTGGGAATGAGGGAAGTTCAAATTAGATCTCCAGATTTATCCCACTCTTTATTTCCTCTTGATCTACCGAGATCTTGGTCATCACTCCTGTTTTAATGTCAATTTACAAATACATCCATCCCTTTTTAGGTCTGTCTAAAACGTCATGTACCATACATGACGTTTTAGACAATAGGAATCCGTAGTTTGAAAACCTCACATATCAAAACGTTCGGGGTAGGAAATTATAAAAAGAGATCACGTAAACAATGGTCAACTCGTTGACATTTTGAGAAGGAACAGGAAATGGTAGGTATGGAATATAGGTATGAAGATAGGTATGGAAAAATAAAACAAATCATTTTTTAATTTTTTATATAAAAATTCACATCAAATATGAGTCTTATGCCTCTTTACTGGTACGCTTATTTCTAAGATAGTGCTATGTAACATACATTTAACGAGATATCGGAATTAGGGGTAACTCCCCGCGGTGTAACAATTCAGAATGACGTTTAGGTTAGGAAGGTTAGGAAATACTTTCTTTAAAATGTCCACTACAACTGCAAAATTTCCTATTACATCGATTTTAATTGAAACCTTTATTTTAGAATAAACTGAACATATATAATTTTCTACTTATGCATTTCATTTTAATGACTAAGGAAAATTAAAATTATGATTTTTTTTAAAGGTCCTACCTAACATGAAACACTATGAAAAGTATTCAGATATTATTTAATAAGACGGTTTAATATCTATGCCGTTGTTTTTTAACACTTTACTCGCTATTGGAAAGTCACCGTAATATATTTTTTAGATAGTGAATCGATTGACAAAAACATACCAAGGTTTGACTTGGTACTTGAATAATTTCAATGTAACATTTCTAGTGAGCTCAGACTTATTGAAGTTTATCTTACAACTAATAACGCTTGTAGCGTGTGTGTTGTCTCCGCTTAAGTTGACACGCCGGCCAGTAGAGTACTCTTGTTCTTGACGTGCCAAATCAAATGCTAGTTACATACAAGGTTATTAATACTACTAGATGGTTATATATTTAAATAAGCCTTTCAATACATTGTCTCAGCATAATGTATGATTTTTTTTACTTTGGAATCATTATTTTTAGATATTATTTTTAACGCCTTACTTAAATTTATTAGGTTTGTTTAATGATTTATGTACTGGATAGAAATATGTTTTCGTTAAAATGATTAAACACCGACTTTTTTTTTAAATTTATCCTTCCTTAACGTTTTTCATATCGATCAAGTATAAGTTAAAAACATTGACTCATAAATATGGCAACATTTAATTTTTGAATGAAGGAATAATTTTGTAAAAATCTCAAATTCCGGGAAATATAGTTATCATTGTCCGCTATCGTATGTTACTCGTATTTAATTATGCAAATACTACACTAGTACTACAAGCTTTTGTCTTTAACATAAGAAACATGATTTTTTTATCTTCTAGTCGATGGAAAGAAATGGTATTTATGTATGACTTAAATTTTTAAATAAAGATTAATTTTATGTCTTAAAATACTTAATATTAGGTACTAATAACTACCAAACAGCTAGTACTCAAGATCAACATTCCCTCATGTGTCCATTCTGGTCATCGTTTTATGCTCACAGCCCAATATATTTATATTAAGTTTAAAATACTGGTTTATATATAAGTTAAGCGTATCATTAATACATGTAAATGCAATAACATACACATATTACCTAACATACACTTTATTACATAAGTGATTAGGTGGGAAATAATCTTTTTCTTGAATCGTATTGAAAGTATTATGTACCTATGCCATTGAAAGACATAGGTAAATATTGGAGTTGCCAGAAAAGTTTAATCATATAATTTCTGGATTGGTATTAATTTGATGTTTCTTGTAAGTACGTCATTTTTATACACTAACGAATTAAGTTCAGTTTATTATGAATAAAATGCGAAATAGCAAATGTCGCGACAACCCTATGCATAGGGTAAGTTTACTGAGACTACAGAAATTCATAATCAGACTAAATGCTAATATTTCATATAACCTAAAATGTTTGTAAACTTCGAATTTGAAGGATACAAAGGAAATCTACTTCCAATAGCCAATTTACAAGCGTGGTTATTTATATATTTCTTAGATCTAAAACCGAATTAAAATTGATTTAGTTGTATATCTATTCTAAAAGAAATTATTTAAAATGGAGATAAATAATATTTAGTATATTTACAAAATTTGGTCAAAATAATTTAAAATTAAAATTACATTCGAATGTACGATAATAGGAAAGAAGTAACGCGTCAACTAAAGTAAACAATACAAATATTGAAGTAAATTACAATCGGCTTAATCTAAATAATACATTCTAATCGATTAATACTTTTTATTGGCAAAGTCTGGCAACATTTAAACAAATAGGTGGGAAGCAGAGTATTGTTTGCGTGGCGCGCTACTTTGGCTTATCAGTTACGCATTGGAGTGTACATTTAATGATTTAACAAATTAATGTTTTATAGATGTTATGTAGAAGACTTTAAGCTTGCCATAATAGTATGTGGGCGATTTAAGCGTAAATAGTTTAACGAGGCTGGTGCGGGCGCGGGCGCGGGCGCGTGCGGCGGGGCAGGCGGCACGGGCGCGGGCGCGGGCGGCGGCAGCGGCGGCGGCGGCGGCGCGATGACGTCACCACGCCTCCGTGTAGCGCACGTCGTACTCCTGCAGCAGCGGCAAGTTGCGACGAATGCTCTCGAACGCCTCCGCAGACAGCCTCGTGCTGTTCAGGTTCAGCCGTCTCAAGCTGGGCAGTCCTGCAATTGCAATAAAGTCATTACTAAGAATGCTTATGTCCCTATAATTCTCGCTAGTCCTAGGACCTACCTAATAATAAATATTTGTGCCATAGTCTTTACCGCATTAAAGTTAATTTTCACAAAGTACCATATTGTCAGGCTGTCAAATTAACGTTTAGATCTTTAGTAGTTTACTCTTGTGATGCATGATCAATTTAAGATATAAGTACCAATAAGTGCTTCTATCCCCTTGTCGGAGACGGGCGTCTCGCAGAGGTTGAGGACCTGCAGGCGCGGCAGGTGCTCCGCGATCAGCTGCACGCCGCTGTCGCCGAACTTCGTCGCCCACAGGTTCAGGTAGCGCAGCGACGGTAACTGTAATTGGTCAAAAACACTGCTGTATTAATGTGTATGAATTCCAGAAGTAGAAATACTATAAGAGAGTTCGTGGTCGGCTGTGGAGGGTAGATTGGCGAGGGTGCGGAGGTGTGGAGGTACCTTAATGAGGTCGTTGGCGCAGGCGCTGGTGACGGCGGTGAAGGCGAGCGAGAGGCACTCGAGGTTGCCGAGCGCGCCGGAGCCGAGCAGCGCCGACAGGTCCGCGTCCGTCGCGCGCACCGGCAGCGCCATCTGTCGCGGCCCGCCCTCAGATTGCTGAAACAACACGTTTGACTTCAACTACTTTTATATTAAAACCAGCTGACCCGTGCGGCTTCATTGGCATGAACCCGCATTTTACGCCTGACGATTTTTGCTAATTTATTCACCCCCAAAATATATAGACGACCTTGGAATAAAGCGTGTTTCTTTCGTGGTATTTACACACGTGGAACGCCAGATAAAAACGGTACCAACAAGATTATAAATTTACCAATTTGAGCAGATTGCGCTGTCGCTCGCAGAGCTCCTTGTAGCACTTGTCTCCGAGGTCGGTGGCCTGCAGCGCCGCGATCACCTCCAGCTGCGTCTGCTCGCCGCACGCCACCTCCCACTCCAGCATCAGGCACAGCGCCTCCAGCGCTGCAGGCTGTATGAGACATTAAACATAATTATTGCTGGGACCTCACCACCGTAATAGAAAGACTAGTAAGAGACAAAGAGAGAGATAATTTTAAGCCACTAAACCACTCTTTTTTACTAATGTAATAATTGTATCGACTAATTAGCTTTGAGACGTTTGACAACAGAGCGGTTATTTATTTCTAAATGAATTTTTTTTTGCCTGTTCATATTATTGGAATAGTTTATTTTTTACCCAGAAACATAATAAATGTTATAAATGCAGTAACAACTTACGTGTTCAGTGAGAGCCACCAAGAGGAAGTCGGGCAGCTGTTTGCTCATGCTCTGGAGGAAGTTCTTCCTCTTGCAGCAGCAGTTCAACAGGCCTTCGATCTACACAGAAATCATATACATTATTTGTTTAATTAGCTGAAGAACATCCGAGTGTTACTGGCTCATTAATGTGTTTTTTTGTAATAAGTATTACTAGATCCGTAATCTATCTATACTATTATAATAAAGCGTAGACACACTTTGTTGCCTAAAATGACAGCAATTACAGCATATTTTGAATAATACTTTTTTTTTATAAAAAGCCCTACACACGTCAAGCTTTAGGCTATATATTTTCACGCCATTAAACTTAGGTTGTAAAAATTTGGGATAAAAATCCTAATGTGACTATAAGTTGCTGCCAACAACAAGGAAGCAATTGTCATTTGTACATTATATTTTGACGTTTTATGCGGATGAAGCCGCACTGGAACAGGTGGAACAGTAATGGTAATAAAGAAGAACGTTGTTAACTTATTTTAATATTAAACTTATCGACCCAGTTAAGTTTCAAGGTTTCTAATAATGTTAAGGTCGTTGTTAACCGATTTAGAATTTGATCATAAGTGGAATTTGACGCAGCGCAGTTTATTTATTTTAGGCTGTGTCGTCAATAACTCTTTCGTAATCCACTATGTTATGTTTCTTATTACATTCTAGATTCATTTATTGGCTGTTTGATCAGGTGTAAAATATTTTGACGTCTAAAATGTATGTTAAAAGTGTGTGTTGCGGAGAGAGTTGCAAGCCGTTTTGTTATGTACAAGAAGTAGAATACCTTCAAATAAGACTATTATCTATCTAGGGTTACAGAGATATTAGTCGTTTGTTCCTAAAGTCATGCAAGAGCTATGTTAATGTTGTGAGGTGAGACGTACCATAGCCCCCCACAGCTGGCAGAGGTCGTGCGCGGGCAGCGCGAGCGCGGGGTCGGAGGGCGCGGCGGCGCGCAGCCAGGAGGGCGGAGAGGGTCGCGCGGCGCAGGCGGGCGCCAAGCTGCCGTGCGCGGTGCAGCGCGGGTCGCGCGCCAGCGAGCGCAGCACCGCCGCCAGCCGCGCGCTCACCCGCGCGCAGCCCAGCGCGCCTGCACTCAGCGGCACCGGCTGCAGCACGCTGCCCACTACCACCAGCCAGTCCTCGTACTCGCACCTGATCATTGTTTAACATTCACTAATTGTTTTATTGAAATTAGTCATATGATACGTTAATGTTTGCTTGCTCATCCTACTGCGACTACTATTAAATGTGCGTTTGGCTCGAACAGTCTATCCTACTACCTAATCTTAATTATATTAAAAATGCGAATGTTTAGATGGATGTTTGTTATAATTTATAGCCTAAAGTACTGTCCGGATCTCGATGAAATTTGGTATAAATCTGGAGGATAGACTGGAAGAATACATAGGATACTAACTTTTGGTATTTTAAACTCCACGCGGATGGAGTCGCGGGAGAAAATTTGTATTTCCGCGTTACGTCTACTGAATGTGGTGATGGAGGCGCAAGCTTAGGCCATTTCCCGTTCCAGCCACTTCTTATAAGGAAAGGATTGGATGGGAAAGTGGATTTGACGGCGGAGGAGGAGACGCACGTAAAGAGAAATATCCTCTTTACGTGCGTCTCCTCCTCCGTCGATTTCGGGTAGGCAACGCATCTGCCACTGCGGAGGTCTATGGCCGCTTGCTCGTTTGCCTCCTTATTGTACAAAAAAAAAAATATTACAATATAGGTAGTGTATGTGTTGTTGTACTGACATTTGCTCGATGATGTCGGCGAAGCAGAGGACGTCGTGCTCGTCGTCGTGGCAGCGGTGCGGCAGGTCCTGTCCGCGGTAGTAGTCGTCGATGGCGGCGAGCGCCACCGCCACCAGGTTGGGCGCGGCGCGCGGGTGCGGGCAGGCGGCGCGCGGCCCGTGCGTCACCGCCACGAAACGACGCACCAGACTCGCGCCAGAGTTCAGCGCGCTCAGAGCACTGCACACAAATATCTCATTACAGCTATTATTATAATTTATACTATTTCTTACAGTACGTCCTCCGAGCGACAATGCGTACTTCTAATTATCGAACACAAATGATAATCAATTTAGAACAATGTCCTGTATTCAATTTAACTTTTGGTAACGAACACAGTAGGTATCAATCGATCGATACTACGCGAAATGTTATAAGAGTGAGTTTTAATATACTTCCCAAATAAGTTAGTTTTAACCAGTTAGGAGTTAGCAACAGTTTGAGTGCGGATTTCGAATATAAATGTAAATATAGCTGCTTTTATACGTCAAGTGTGGGCGTCGAGTTACGGGACTAGTTTTAAATATGGATGACAACAATACAAACAGCAGGCCCGGAGAGCGCCAATGATGGATAGATAGTATCTTTACTTAACACTGGCAGTTTGTTATTGTCACACATTACTAGTACAGTATTGTATTGTCTGTTGTACATCATCTTTGTTTTTTGCCGTCACTTAATAATTTACTATGACTCTACTCAAAGAGAAACATGTACTATTAATAAAAAACAAATCTTAAGGACGCAACTATTGTTTACAATAATTTATTCATAAGCACCGAATCATACTATAAATAGAGTTAAGCGCCTACTATGTATGAGAGGGAGAGGGCCATAATAAAACATTTGCATATTCAATTACCTGATATAATCTCGTACAAATCGCCTGGCGTCCGGCGCCTTGCCGAAGTCTACGTTCCGTGTGAGGACGCGGCGCACGGGCGGCGCGAGCGCGGGCAGCGGTGCGGCGCGCGGCCGCCGGCGGCACAGCCGGGACAGCAGCGCGCACAGCTCGCCCGTCACCCCGCGCTCCGCCAGCATCGGGGCCGCGGTACTAGTCACCTTCTCCGCCCACTCCTCCCAATCAGGGTCGTCCTTATTCTACGATAAATGTAAAAAATAATTGACAACATTGCTAGACCCTGACTATCAGCAGTGTATCAGTTTATTGGAATTCATCGTTAAAAAATCAGTTACCAGTTGAATCACGCACAGGCACACCGGCTAGTTAGTTAAATTAATAATTATAATACAGCTAATATCATTTTAGGCTAAATTACATTAATAAATAAAATGAAGGAGGTAAAAACATATTTATGAGTATTTGATTGGGTTCATTCACAGCAACCGCAATTATGTTTGGAAAATATTCGTAATTTGTTTTCCTCGAAACGAACCGTACAGTCATATTCAATATATCAAACTTTCTTTATGATGTTAGCCAATTATACGAATAAAGATATAACGAGGTCTATTTTGAGTTATTTAAGCAATATGTATTGAGGCACAAACAAGCTTTATTGTGTTGTTGGGATGTCACATGTTCGTAAATATGAACATGTGACTTCGTTCTCGGTATTCTCCGATTGAATTTTTATAATGAAATGTAAGTATTAGCTGGTATTCAAAGATTCTTATACAAAGTGAGACGGTAATTTGATTCTATTTCTGTCTGTAAGATAGTCAACAAAATAATTTTGACTACTATTGCTCTTTTCATGAAGTCGATGGCATAGACTTGATTAACAGAAATAATGACAGGGCTATTCTGGTATCTTAGTACCATCATTCATGTTCACTATTTGCAGATTTCCTTTTTTTAATAATTTAACACTGATTTGTATGGGCACCGCCAGCCGGTGAACTTATTGGGATTTATAAAACTTAAATGTATAGGCTGCATTTTTACGGCCGCCCGGCTGCCTATCGCCGACCCTAACCGGGATCAACCTTCTAAATGCCAATGTTATATTAATATGTTTTCTAAAACTGTGAGCAAACTTCTGGATCTCGTAATTTCGATCGTTCGATAGCATATCGTCATAACATCGTTAAAAGTAGCGTCGTTTAAGTTAATAAAAAAGGCAATAATGGTTAGTTTTATAACTGTTTTCCACGGAGCGACTATCAACTACGTCACAAGTTCGTCACAACGTTATTTATTATGTAGAATTTTCCTTATAATTGCAGTTAATAATTAACATTTGACACGCCACAGAGGATGTATCAAATGTAGTCAATTGTAAAGAAATAATGCCTGGAGGCGGTATTGTGATAACGGTTTTTTTCTATTTTAAGTTAAATAAGGAATTAGCAGTCCAGAGTAAAACCCTTAAGAGTTATAGCTTTAGATAATATTCTGTACCATTTTTATCATATGGAGCGTCCTAAAGAAAAACATTTTTTCAGGGTGTAAATCTGTTCACATTCTAATAGTTATAAACAAAAATAAATAGCGCCAAACATGCTTTCGTCCGAGCCGATACTAATATTGCAACTCTGTAGTGTCTTATTTTACGCAACAATTAGACCGTAACTTCCTCTCTCTGTGACGTGTAATTATATGTATGAAATATTTGCGAATGTCTTTTAAGATTTGTGATATTATTGTTTGCAAAGTGTGCATGAAACACGCACGTGTTATTCACATGTATGTTAGATGTACGTAATAAATAATGTAAGCTAATATCCAGTCCTATCTTGATTTTTTTTAATAAATTTCACTTCAATGGACATCAAGTTTAACTTAAGTAATACGGTAGGTACACTGGCGGTAATCTGTAGTGTTGCACTAACAGTAAAAATTGCCTTTTTTCTTGCAATGAGACAAACTACACCTCATCTTAGAAATAACCAATTAGGTAGGAGCGAATTGTGCAAACGTCAGGATAGTGTTAAAAACCAACCGTGTACCGCTGACCGACCCTTTTTTCATACAGACTTTATTTGTACATTTAAAATCTGCATCCTATATTAAACACTGTCAGGTTCCCCGACTGTACAATGTGTGGGGATAAACAGATATAGATTCATTTGAAGCGATCTTACAGCTACCTGACTTCTACTTTTAACAGATATGTTTAATTTACACACATCTATCAAATCCCTTGGTTACTGGTACTCTTTTCATCGTCTTTCTTCTACAGGCATGACACATATGTACTATTATCCTTCTTATAATTATTCTAGGATGTCCCATTACACTCGCAACGTAAACAATTTCTCATAACATTTTACTTAAATATTTAATGACATGGCTTCATTACAAATGACTTGCAACACAAAGTTACCTTTCACCGTTAACGTCGAATGTCAACTTTTTGCGGTCACTGTTTACGTCAATTTACTTGAAGTGACTGCATCTCGGTTTTCCTCTGGAAAGTCCGTATTGCAAACCTTTCTTTGTTCTGATGCTAATCATGCTTGATTCTGAGAAATCTTCCATGAAGTATAAAAGTAAAACTTTTGTGAAGTTTGACGTATTCGACGTCTTTGGTACAATGTTGCACATTTAATTAAGTAGCCGAATATTTTAAAGAAATGAAAAATGTGAAAACCGTCGGGAAATAAATGTAAAGTTTTTAAGTAGTAATAGAGTAATGTAAACTGAATTCCTATTATTATATGTTAAACGTCTAATTAAACGTTTGCGACACTTACCTCGGACAGCAAAGCGGTCAGAATCTGCAAAGGGACACGCGTCACACTTTCATCTTGGAGTGGAGTTGTCATTGCAAAGTCCACCATGTTCTATAAAAATATCACATTATTTTAGTAATAAATAAAGAAAAAAGAAAACTTGCTAAAGAAAACCTTTTATTAATAACAACATCGATAACTTCATACTAATATAATATTTAAATGCGAAAGTTTAGATGGATGTACATATGTTTGTAGCCTAAACGACTGAATGGATTTAATTTTTTATATTTGGTACAGATGTAGAGGATAGTCTGGATACACATAGGCTACACACTTTTATTTTTTTTTTAATTCTACGAGGCGCGGGTAAACTAGTAAGATTATAATATAATCCTTTTATGATCCGAGAATTACAGTAAATTTTCGAGAGCTTATCAATGGGCAAATCTCTCATAATAGTGCAAATATTTGAATTTCTCAATACACTTTGTTATGGCTGGAAGATTTTTGTCAAAATAAAACAGATTGCTATAATCAAAACTTTTTCTGTCTCTATGAAGCATAATTAAATTTCCATTCAATAAAAACGTAATTGAAAACGAAATGCCTTTACGTATAATGTGATTGATGTCACATTTTTATTCAAATTAAATTAGTAGACGGTTAAAATCTATTTATAAATAAAATGATTGAGTAATGAATATAAAAAAGATATCCATTGAATAGTTTTTGCAATCACGATTAATTTAAAAGGAATGCAGTGAAACTTTTTTATCGTTCTACCGAAAGCGAATCGTTTAAAGATACCAATTATGGTCCGACAAACATCAAGCTGTTATAATAATTACGTAGTTGTAAAAAACTACACTATAATATAATTTTTTTATCAATATATAAATGTAGTATCTATGTTTTTTATCTTTAAATGGCTTCAAACGCTAATTAAATTTGTAAATAAATGATTTTATCTCCATTATTTGTAATAGCTTTAATTAATGTATTCTAACGAGCGACCCCGTTTTTTTGGTTCATACGTAAATGCTGCAAAAACTATAACAAGCAAACATTTTTTTGATAACGTCTGTTCTTATGATGTTTTTTATTGTATTATTAATGAAGATTTTTAGTTGATTATGTTTAATTACTTTTCATTTGTTTATTTTTTTAAGCACATAATCTGGAGTATTTTAATTTTAACACCGTCATAATCGTCGAAAGTTTTAAGTAATGAATTTCTTACAAACATTCAAAAAGGAGCAATTTCTATAATGTATCGTATTTTTGGTACTGTATTTTATATGGTATTTTTAAAATTATGATTAGTTCTTCGTTTCCACGTATGTATATCTATACTAATATTATAAATCGAGATGATTTGTATTTTTTCTGTATTGAAATAACTCAAAAACACGGCCAATTTTAGAAATTCAACAATTAAAAAGCTACACTGAGTAACATAGGCTATAATTCTTATTATTCTTTAAAACAACGCGGACGAAGTCACGAGCAACAGCTAGTATTACAACATAAAAATAATACAAACCTTGAGCTCTTTCAAAACGACTTCCTTCCTCGCTGTTTTCGTTAGAAAATTGCGATACCTTATCATGTTTCTCTGTAACAAATAAGATTACAATGCATTTGTTGCGAGTTAGTTTCACTCGAGCGGAAAACTACTTTATTCAACAACGATTGTATGTACTTACTTTCCATATGATAGAATAATACCACTGGTCTCGCGTATACGCGTCATTGGCCTGGAACAAAACGATATCACTGTACTCTTTAATATCTCACTAATTTTATAAATGCGAAAGTTTAGATGGATGGATGTTTGTTAGAGTTTGTAGCCTAAACGGCTGATGAGATCTCTATGTAATTTGGCATAGATGTAGAGGATAGTCTGGAAGAACACATAAGGCTACTTGCTTTAGTTTTTTCTTAATTTCGCGCGGACGGAGTCGCGGGCGAGGGAGTAAATTTATATTTTTCAACTGAATTATTAAAATAATTTATTTAAATGCTCACTTATGTTATTTGATTTATCTATAGTTGTATTTTCCTTTAGAATATTTAGAATTTTAGGAGAAAATCGTATAACAACTACCTATTCCAGAATTAGGGAAAGATGTTTCTTATTCGTTTGCGTCTTCATTTATAAGGTATCGGGGCTGTCTCTTTCAATCTTATACCTTATTCATTGTCATGTAAGGTCAAATTATTTAACTCCAGTGTGTGACTGTCAGTCAGTCAACCAACCCACACTATGCCACCATGGTTGCCTATGGCCTAGTTACCCCATATTAGGGTAGGCTCAGAGCCCCTCGGTAGGGACGTATAGTGAGCTGGTGATGATGATGATGATGATGATGATGATGATGATGATGATGAATAACAAACATAATCCGTATTTCTAGCAATCTGTAACAACTATTATTTAACTCCAGTATGTAATTGTCAGTCAGTCAGTGTACCAACCCGTAGTAGGCCAGCAAGGTTGATTATGGCCTTGTCAATCCCTAGGGTAGGCTCCAACCCCCACGGTGTGGACGTATACTGAGCTGATGATGATGATGACGGTGATATTGAATAATAAACATAATCCGTATTTTTAACAATCTGTGACAACTGATAAGTCGTTTTTCTAATTATTTCATTATAATTTTAAGCTATCTGTTAAATCTATTTCCTGCAGTGATCTGATACAAGTTGATATTAGTAAACCTACTTGAAGGAGCAGCGAGCCGTGCGGTACTACGATCCGAAGGCAGTACTTCCTGGCGGGGTCCCAGCGCGAGATGCAGTACACCTCCTGCATGCAGCTGTATGACAGCGGTCGTTCCAGCAGGCCCGCCGGCTGTGAACAAAACAAAAAATAATAAACTAAAAAAAACAAAAACTAGGGAAAAAACATTTGTTTATATTATTCGCTTGTTTTTTTATTAGTGTAACTGGACATCTAGGTAATCTATTTACAATGTCTTTCTTTTTTTTTTTCAACGGTGACAAAATTTAAAATACCACCAAACCATTTGCAAATTAGCGACGCTTACTACAGCTAACTACAGTTGTTAGTTTCTAACTCAGTGACACTTTTTGGCTAGAATTTTATTTGCATAAATTGAGTAGGTACTGTTTTCTATGAACGGTAAAGCGGAAAAACAGAAACCCGCTTAAACGAGGCAACCGGGATTTCTCACGTCGTAAGTAAATATACACGTGAACGACAAATCACATCTAAATACAAATAGATACGGGGAACTTGGAATTAATTAACTCCTGCAGGAAATTAGATAGTGTCGAGAGATTTCTTAGTATTTCATTTCTTAGAAAAGGGCATCGACGAATAAAAGAAAGACTGTCTATATTTAATTACACGTGATTCTAAAAATCTATAAAGACAAAGGAAAATAAAGGTGGGTTTCACAAAGAAAATCTTTTACCTTCATTTTGCTTTTATATCTAAGATGCGTTCCATTATGACGCATTAATGTTAACAAATAACTTTTCTTTTAAAGACACCTATTTTAAAATCTCTGTAACTGACAGGCTATTGAAGGCAGTTCGTTGTACGCATTATAAAAGAGCGCTCCTTATAACACGGGGTGTCTTCAACAAAGGATAGAAACCTGATAACTGTAAAGGGATGATAGGGTTTAATGCAAGTAATCCCGAGCGCAGTGGATAAAGGATCTATTCATTCTGTATTTACAAGGCTTCGTGCCTCTGCAGATTACTAAATCATTTTACGTTATAGCACAGGTCTTGGTTATAAATTACATGTGATCTTACTTTTATATTAGTTACTTGTTACGTCTTTCTTTTGAGTAAGTTACATTTAAGAACCATAAGGTGTCTTTATGTTTCTATATCTATACTGGATGGGGATTTACTGAATTTTTTCACATATTAGAAAGTGAGATATTCCTTTGGTATATTTGTGATTATCAGATATTTGTTGTATCTATGTATGTAGCATAGATTTGAAGGATGTCATTATTAATCAAAAGTTAAGCGAGATATTTGTCATTTAATTACTGTTAAAAAATGTAAAGTTTTCTAATTGACCGTCGACGATATTGTAGTGTACAGGAGTGGGAGTCTTGTAAATATAAAACCTGTAGCTAAAAGTAAAATCTTCTTGAGACTTTAAAGTTCCAAGAAGTTTATTTCGAAACTCCACCTACACAGTATTAACTGTCAACTTTTAAAACTTTATTTTTTTAATTAAATGTGTAAAAAGATTCAAGCAAGTTATTTTCTATTAGAAATCTATTTATATAGCAAGGCTTGGTCTTTGGCTTTATATAACCGTCTATCGAAAATTCTTATTCTTTAATACTCATCATCCACTTGCCCTTATCCCTTATGGAGGGTCGGCACAGTATGTGCTGCTCTTCCATACATCTCTATCACCCGTCATATCTGAATCCACTCCTTTCTTAAGCATATCTTCCTTCACACAATCCATCCATACTTTCTTCGGTCTTCCTCTTCCTTTGTAGCCATCCACATTTAATCTCAACACTTTCTGGTTTATGTCCCCATCATTTCGTCGCATAATTTGTCCATACCACGCTAACCTTTTGCTTCTCAATTTCTCCACCACTGGCGCTACTTTCAAACTTCCTCTAATGTACACATTCTTAACTTTATCCAATCTTGTCACACCACACATCCATCTTAACATACGCATCTCAGCCACATGCAATCTCCTTTTATCCGCAACTTTGGTGGCCCAGCATTCAGATCCATACAATACGACAGGTCTTATGATGGACTTGTAGATCTGTCCCTTAAGCCTAAGAGGCATTAAGAAAATTCTTATTCTTTAATACTGACTACCCTAAATTGTTTCTACAGTTTTAGCCATTACCGGAATTAAACTTTTGCCACCTGTCCCTATATTACATTATAGCTGATGCTCGCGACTTCGCCCGCGTGAAATTAAAAAAAAATATAGCCTATGTTACTCACTGATAACGTAGTTTTTTAATGGTGAAAATTTTTGAAATCGACCCAGTAGTTTTTGAGTTATTGCAATACATACAAAAATACAAATCTTTCCTCTTTATATTATTAATATAGACTAGCTGTTGCCCGCGACTTCGTCAGCGTGAAATTTGAAAGTTCAAAAATTACGTTAGCCCCTTTTTTCAACCTATTACCAAAAGTATTGACTTAGTAAGTTTTGTATAGTTTACGAGAGTCGATGAGATTACCCATTGTCAACACAATTAATGAGGGAAAAATCATAAATAAATAGAAAAAAAATTGAGAACCTCTTTTTAAAATTGGTTACAAAAACTCACAACAAAAGACGAGAACTGGCTTAAATAGATATGGGGGTCGGGTTTTAGAAACATCAGAGCATAAGAGGGCGGATTACGTTAGGGCCGTGAGGTCGCGGTTGGGCATTGCCCCGCTGCAGTCGCGGCCGAGGCTGCGTGTGACGTCAGACCGCGTCCCGAATGCGCCGGTCAAACAGCCCTTCTCTCAAATCGAACAACCAGCGCTCTCATGTCGGGTAACCTGCATCTTAAACTATTATATGATTTCGTTTCCTTTGTTTGGAAAATAAGGAAGTATGGTACACTATCTGTAGTACCACAAAACGATCGGTATATGTAAGTAGTTTTTATTTGTTGGTCATAATCGCATTTCGTGATAAATAAGATTTATGAAAAATCCGCACCGGGCGCTAGTCACGTTAAAAATGCTTGACGTATATTTAACCTAAAATGCATTGAACCACTTATTTGTTTATAGTAAGGCCCTGCTAGTTAATAAAACGCCTTTTTAGTAATCGAAGAAAAAATATGAATCAAGTAACACTTAACTCGGTATAATCGATTTACTTTTTGAAGTTCTACGGCGTCACAAAGAAACTTTTTATGTTAATGAATATAATGCAAGTAAAGTAATAATTAGAAAACATTGTTACTTCTGGTTTATCACAGGCAATAGGAATAAGTAATGTATTATGAAAATGAGCTTAACTTGTGAGTGTAGCAGTTATGTGGGCAGAGGGGACAAGGCGAGCGGCTGCATTAATTACCGGCGCGACGCACTTCTATGACGTCGGTCTTATAGAACTATATTTAAAACCTGAATAATTAATAGAAATTAGGGACGCCATCACTAAAGTGAAATCAACCATTGGAAAATTATGCAAATAATTTCTAAAGGAGTTTTACAGATGAATAAATTTCTTAAGATGACGCCATACCTTTGGCATTTATGGCGTCACCTATAAGACTATATTAACATATGTATTCTCGTTTAAATTATGTGCATAACTACATTTTCTTTAATACGTAGATGAAAATGTCCACCCCTTGCTTCGTTTCGAAAAATCGATAACGCAAATACGAGTACAGATACTAAGAGTAAGCGTTGTATTGACAATATTATTAGTATTGTAGTATTTAGTATTTGACAACAACATATTACAAACTGTTAAATAACAGTAAACTAAATACAACTAAATACAATGCATAAATATTTTTAAATATATAGGCGGCCCAAGATCATTGGCTCGTTACGAAGTACCCTAAAATCCACTACACCTAAAATTGAGCGCATTTAAATCTACGCAGCGATCCACGCGATGTAACAGACTCAAAGATATTTGAAAACTACTGTACAATAAATGACAATTATACTATGCTGTCAATAACTAGCTCAACTACGCTATTCTATGAGACCAACTTCGATACTATCGAAGTCGCCTACAGTTACCTGTTTGCTGCATTGAGAGCGAAAGTAACAGAACTAATTTGACTAAGGTCAAAATGAATTAGCAAGCTTGATAAAAATCGTCATTGTGACGCAGGCGATGCTATAAAACCAATTCTGCGTTGGATAACATATCAAGGATATTGCTGCGTGTTTCATGAATACAAATTTATGTTATTTTATATTGCATTTAAATATACCTATTTGTATCTGTGGCAAGCCTGTACTTTATATAAATGTACTATGTTGAGCTTTGTTTTTTTTTTATTTTGCGAACTTATAAAGTACTTGAAAATACTGTTCGCCTTGGTGCAGAAAAAAGTCGATTACATTAAACAAAAACACATATGTACCACGATCTAATTGTCATTATCAAAAAGATTTATAAATTGTTTTGCTTGAGAATGACGTGTTATAAGACTCATCATCACCAGCTCACTACACGTCCCCACCGAGGGACTCGGTGCCTACCCTAAGTAAGGGGTGACTAGGCCATAGTTAACCACGATGGCCAGTGCGTGTTGGTTGACTTCACACAAATCTTTGTAATTCTTCGCCGATATGTGCAGGTTGCATCATGATTTTTTCCTTCACCGTAAGAACGTCGGGTAAATTATGTACATATGAAAATTAAAATCACATTGGTACACGGCAGGATTCGAACCCAAGACCTGTAGATTACAAGTCAAGTGCTTAAACCACCGAGCCACCGACGGTATATTAGACTGTCCACCTTCAATTCGTAATAGAATTTATCTAAAAGAATTTGCTAAAACAGAATCTGGCAACACCGCGGTTGCGTTTTACTGTTTCATTAGCAACGTAGCGCTGTTAAATTGCTAGATTCGTTTGTTTTAATATTAAACAAAATAAAAGCGCAAAATATCGCATCCCCAGTCAACGAGAACGAAATTAAACAGTGGACATGTAACACTGATTATTTTTACTATAGTTTGTATATTAAGCAAGCTCGCAGTTTAAACTCGTTACAAAATATATGTACAGTCGCGGAAATGTGTTCTACTTCAGAAAATGCCTTGTTCATGCAACGAGACAAACATTGCCTCTTCCTACAAGTAACTAATTAGAGAGCAATGAGTGATGTAAACGAAGAGACGA